GAGTCAGTGGGGCCATTCGCGGTGTACAGGGCGCCTCTCTTCCTTCTGTAGGGGAATGCTCTTTCCTGAGCCTTGTGTCCTTCAAAGGAAGACTGTCGTGAGGAATTCACCCAACTCCCACCCTTGGCTGCGCTGGGGTGGGCCACCTCCCACCCGTCTCTCCCTGGCAGCCGAGAGCAGGGTCTTGCCTGTGTTTCTTCTCAGCACAGACCCTTTCGTTCCTGTTTCCTGCCAGCCAGCCTCAGCATCTACCGCCGCAGCTGCTTCCAGTGGGCAGACCTCCCCTGGCTTCTCGGTCCCCTGACTGGTTAGTGGAGGCTGCTGGTAGGTGAGGGCTCCTGATGACCTCTGTGAAGCAGGTGCTCGTTAGCTGGCTTTCTCCGTGTGCCAGAGGAAAGTTCTTGCAAGGAAGTGTGGCTTCTGACTCGGAGAAGGGGCACAGTCACCTGGCCTGCCACTCGCCAGAATGACAGAAGGCAGGATCCATCTGTTTCCTCCAGCGTCAGTGGATCACGAGAAAAAACAATTTGCAGGTGGGAAATTTATGTTTCAGAACACTCATAAACCTGCCACAAGAGGGAGGACGGCGGTGGTCAGTTAGATGGAACTGCCCCACCCCAGCTGATTGTAGACGGTCTGGGATGTGTCTGTGCCTGCTTGCTGCCGTGAGGTCGTGGCATCTGCCCTGAGGTCAGGGGCTTCTGCCGTGTGGGCATTGGAGCTGGACTTGGCCCTGGTCTTCACTTTGCAGAGTTTGGCTCTATGAAAGCAGGTCATGGCACATGGTGTCAACTCCTTCCTTCCCACCCACTCTCATTTTAAAAGAAAACTATTTTATTCATTTTGGAGAAGCTTGACATTTTAATAACAACAATAATAAAAAGCGCTCTCGGCTAAGATAAAAAGAAGTCAGCTGACTGTGAAGTCGGTTGCCCTCCTGTTGAGGTGACAGCGAGGGCCCACTTCTAACAGAGCTGCCCTCGCCGGCGTACAGGGTGCTGGCGGGGAGGGGCTGGCAGGAAGCGCTGTCTGGTGGTTGAGGTATTTCGCACATGTGTGGTTTACCTTGGCTCTTCAGAGTGCCAGGTTACCCTCCTCTGCCCGATGGTTAAATTCGTTGATTTGTTCCTCCAGGCAAATGTGTGTGTGAAATCCATTGCTAATGTTACCTTTGTCCAACAATAGATCACCTAGTGGCGCGTTTCTCAGCATGCGTCTCTGTGGTAAGTGGCACGTGCCTGCATGGACAGAAGACCCTTAAACAACTTGGGTTTAGGGATGCTCACCCCAGGCAGTGAAAGCTCTGCCTGTAACTTCAAGTTGGTCTTCTCTATGCAAACTCAGGCTCTGTACTCTTATCTGGCTGACGTTCCCAGTTGGTTGAGGCCATGAATGCAAAACAGCAGCTAGAAAAGAAAACCCTGCCTGTCTTGTTCAGACCTGGTATGTTTTACTGATTAGTTGACAAAGCACTTCTATATAAGTTGTATTACATTGAGTTGGAACAGAATACCAATACAAAAATTTCATGAAGTAGTCCTAATTAACCCTACTTCATATAGTGCACGGTAATATTTTCTGTTTTACATCTGGCCTAAGTTGTTATCAAATCAGTGAATTGATCTCGTTGTCCACTTGGGGGTTTCAGACTATAATTTGAAAATGCCAGTTTAAGAGATTGGTAAGAGATGCTGGCATAAAGGAAGGCTCAAGTAATGGCCAGTGGAGGGTGGAGAATGTGGGGGAAGAAAGGGATGTCAGAGGGCAGATTAGAATGGACTTAAGAGCTGTGTGACTCAGAACCCGAGTCAGGCCTCCATTCTAGAACTTACTGAATGAACTTGCAGAACTTGCAGAAAAGTAAGCACGTAGGGTGCCCAAAAGCATTGTTGGGGTTCATGGCTGACCTGCCTCGTCAAGGGTATTTGTGGGAACTGAGTTTTCCTTAAGTCATGTTGAGCTGCTTTTACTATGAAATAACCTTGTTAAACTTTAAACTTAAGCTTTATTATTATCGTGCATTATACATAGAAAGGTGGAATCACACTGTTTCTACTAGAATTTCTATGTAATTTTGTCATTCCCTGCAATTCTTTAATCAAACAAGGCAAATAAATATTGACAATCATCTATAAGGCCGAGTTATTTACATCAACAACTGATCGTCCTTGGTAATTGGAGCATGAAAAGGAGGCTACTTTCCTGTTCTGTTAATCCCTCCTCTTTGGGGCATCAGCGGAAGCTTTATTTTTACATTCCGCACAGCAGAGTGGCCTTCCCCTGGAGGTTCATCCTTGGCTTTCAAGTGATCATACTTAGGCCCTCCTCTCATCCTCGCTAAGGAGGGTGCCTATTTGGGGGATTAGAAGAAGGTTCTAAAAGGTGAGATAATGAGGCAGGAAAAGATTTTCGGGGATAAAAGGCTTCTAAAGGCTATGAGGATATCGTGGCAGGATGAGAGGGTAAGAGAAGGAGCCCAGATGTTCCTGGCTTGGCAACTGTTTTAAGGGGACTGTGACCTCAATTTATAGAATTTGCAACTGGGTGCTTAATAGAATTGGGTTTTTAATATTTACAGCAGTTATGTAAATGCTTCCCCCCCAAGTGCTTTCTTAAATCCTCTTAGCTTATAAATGACAGCTTTGATTTCTAAAAAAACAAAAAAATCCTTTCATTTATCCAGCCTAAGAGTAGTAAACAATAGATACTTAATGCCCTCCTTTCATGTCAGTCCCCAGAAGACTGAGACTTACATTCTAGAGAGTTTATTGCTGTGCTTTTGAGCTTATTGAGTTCATGTGGAACTGAAGGTGGGGGAGCTGACGCTGCATCCTTGGTGCCAAGGTGATTCCTGGGGTTGTCTGCGACACCTGCTTGGCATGCTCCAGCTTTGTCGGTGGGCTGAACATACGGTATTGGAGAAACTACATGCATCGCCCACTTGGAATGACTTGTGCTACTTTTTTGTTAGTGATCAAGAGTGTTAGGGAGTCAGAGCATCGCCTACATGCTTTCGGGTCATGTTTCTGCTGCAGGGCCCTGAGACCGCAGTCGTGGGATGGGTGTGAGCTAGTGCAGCCGTTTGTTTGATGGTGTCAGAAATCATTTCCTCCTTAGTTCTGCTATAGAAAACATTGTCATTTTGTAGGTCTTTAGAAAAATTGTCCCCACTCTCTGAGGTCTTCCAAAACACGTGCAGAGAAGGGAGAAGAATTAACAATTAAACTCAACTGTGACACATGTAAGCGACGGGGTCCTTGAGGGCTGTGACTGATTCAGAGCCTGCTGATTGGGTGCCTTCTGGGGACCAGACTCTGTACACCGCACTGAAGGAGTGAAGAGAAGAGTGTTGGGACAGCGTTGAGATGGCCATGACCTGGGGACCTGAGAACACCAGCAAACACAAGGAGGGCAGCAGTGTCAGGAGCAGCTCAGCTGAGGAGCAACATTCACCACAAGGTTATTTACTTGCCAAGTGGTTGATGCTCACTCTTTCCTAGGCTGTGTGTGGGCTGCACGAGCTCTTTGAAGCTGTCCAGTGGCGCAGGGTGGGCTGTGGGTCTGAGGGCTCACGGCTTTGGCTCTGAGCTGGAAGTGATGGGTCTGACACTGCTGAGGTGCTCAGGCCTCCGGGTGGACAGGACATTCTCAGAGTAGCGGGAGACAAACCACACAGCACAGCTTGCTGAAAATAAAGAAAGCAAAACTGATTTGTTAGTAGCTACGAGGACTCATCTATCTAGAACATAGCTGAGAACCAAGAAAATTTAAAAAGCAATTTCAGTCTTTATGCACAGATGCCTCCACACAAGTCCTGTCTACTCTTGCATAGCAGATCTAGAGCTGGTTTCTAAGGTAGTTTGTGGATTTTGAAAGCAGAAAATTATAAGGGGGATGGGACGTATTAGAAAAGGAATGAGTACCTTTAAAAGGAAGAAGGAAAACTGGAAAAGAGATGTGATTACACAAAAAGTATTACCATCTGTTTCATTTATATCAAGCACACTAGACTAGTGGCAGGGGAGATTTCTAAGATTTCTAGGGTACAGTGTTGGAATCTGAAATTTCAAACTGTTTCCCTGGTGATTTTCATGCATGTGGTTTGAGTATTTCTGTACTACACACAATAAGCCTATTCATCACGTGACATTACATTGTGCCTTTAGGAAGCCAAAAACATTTATACCAGCTCTTAAAATATTCCCAATCAAAATGTTTAACATTGAAGTTCTGATTCTTTTAGGATCAAATTTTCAGCTCTGCAAACAACCAGACTTTTCAGTTTTTGTTCCCTGAAAGACATTTTACTGCATGGAAAATCATTGCACATAGAGAATATTAATTTAGATTATTAAAAAAATCACATTTACTTTATGCACCATAAATAGTTATAGTACTTTATAAATAACACTTACTGTCTCTTACTCAGATGTGTAAATTTGACTCACAGCCTTGTAGAAACAGTTGAATGTATACAGCACTTTGTGTCTTTTCCTCTTCTTTTCCATTTATTATTTATTATTTTATCTGTGAGAGCATATATATATATATATGAACTTATTTTCTGAACCAGAAATATGTTCTTACATTTCTGGCTCTGTATACATAGCAGGTCCCAGTTAACATTTATTGAATGAAACAAGTTGTACTGTGCTAATTAATCCTTATTGACTGTGTAAATACTTTCCACTCTATTTTCCCCCTTTGCGATTGCACAGCAAAATCTTTATGATATTTGAAATGCATTTGATGATTAGAGGCATCAGAACACGTGACTGCTTCTTTCTGCCTTTGCTTCCCCCTTACCGAATTAAAGGGCGGAGGCGGCATGAGATACACGGGGCATGGAGTGGTTATAGGTGTCACCGCAGGCTCTAATGTGTGTCCTTGTGGCGTGTTCTTGTCTGATGGGGTCACAGCGGTGTGGCCAGGGGGCATGGAGAGGCATGTCTCAGCACCGGGAGGACGCTCACCTGTGCGCACTCTGTCGTTGGCCCCAGGTGACGGTGGAGGAGGTCATGACCACGACTGCCTACCTGGATCTTTTCCTGCGCAGCATCTCCGAGCCAGCTCTGCTTGAGATCTTCCTCCGTTTTATCCTGCTGCACCAACACGAGAATGTCCACATCCTAGATACTCTCACAAGCCGGATCAACACCCCATTTCGGGTAAGGAGCACCCCAGAAAAAGGGAATTTAGAACTCAACCCCAATCTCAAGAGCTTGTTGTGGGAATAAAAGTATGAATATTTTCTTTCCTTTTTTCCCCCTTTACAGCCAGTCCCTTTTTTGCTTTGGATGAGAGGGGAACTAGCTAATGTGTTTTTGCTATCTCGAGCTCTCCTGTGGCACTTACTGCCTTGGATGGGACATTTTTCTCGATTTATCTGGGTTGGCACTTTCTTCTGCAGACCAGCAGACTGTGCTTCTGAGGAGGGAGAATGCAGTGGAACATATGGGCTTAAGTGCAGGTAAAGCCAGGGAATCAGAGTCTACCGAGTCTGGTATTAAAGATTCTATTTCTCTCTGCAGATGTTTTGAAGTGGAAATCTGGGCAGTTGTGAACTGAAGTGGTCGTTCATTTTTAGTCTGGACTGGATTAAATTGGAAAATTCTCGTGCTAGCTGTGCCACCCTTTCAGCCTCCTCCCCAAAGGCTAGGTCTCTCACAATCATTATTTGAAGCCAGAGAATAACAGTTTAATTACACATTATTGGGTCTGTAGCACCCGCAAGTGTAATATGTGTAATGGTAGTAGCACAGATGGGGTAAGAAGGAGGAAAGCCATGTAGGAGTGCTGTTTGTCTATTTCACTGGCACTCGGTCTGCTTAAATCCGAAGTGGAGTTTGATTAGTTAAGATGTACATAGTAAAGCCTAGAGCAATCACTAATACTTAAGAAATGTAGTGAAAAAATCATGAAAGGAATCAAAGTGGTACACTCATGTAAAAGAAGACAGTTTTGGAGGAGTAGGGAGCAAAAAGAAATTCAGGACAGACACATAGAAAACAAAAAGTAAGAAGACAGCAGTATAGGTCAATAATAACATTGAATATGAACAGATTAATAACTTCAATCAAAAGGCAGAGATTGCCCGACTGGGTAGAAAAACAAGATGTAGACGCCAAAAGCATGAAAGTTAAAGAACGGCAAGAAATTAATAGTAATCAACACAAAGCTGGGGCAGACTTTAAAATAAGAGATGTGGGCCTCCTGGTGGCCTGGGGGTGAAGTCTCAGTGCTTACAGAGGCCCGAGTTCATTCCTCAGCCAGGGAGCTGGCCCACATGGTGCAGCAGACCTCTACTGTCTCACCTGCTCCTCCCTCAGCAGTGTACTTCAGTAAATCTGTGTATTCTGTATTCCACTTTGTGAATCCTTTGGTGAATCTTCTTGCCCCTTCACCTCTGGCCTGTACCATAGTTCTTCTGTGTGCATAAAAAATAAGAAATATTAGACAGATGGGGGGCATTCTATAATGACAGGGTCAACTCAGAAATATACAGCGATTGTAACTATACATGCATTTCAAAACAGCAAAACACATGAATTAGAAATTTCTGGAGTTTTAGGGAGAAGAAGAAATGTCGGCAGTAACTGAATGAGCACTTGCTAGTTTACCTTCCCTGGTGAAACAAGCAGGTAGAACATCACAAGGACTCCTGAGACTGCGGGAAGGAAGTGTTGAGAGGCAACATCGTATCACTGAGAGAAAAGGGGGCTTAAGGCCTCTGGTGGGGCTTGGGGGGTTGCTGGGGGTGAGCCTATGGAGGAGCAGGGGATGCGCCCCCAGGCAGGGAACAGTATGTGCTTGTGCAGTGAGATTGAAGTGGTTGCTGTGGCTGCCAGCCGGTGACCTGAGCACAAAGTGGTTTGGGGCAGGCCAAGGAAAGCTACTCCTTAAGACCCATTGTGGATTTCATTGACAGATTTGAAGCTGATTCTTACAAAGAGTGAGACTTAAATGACATAAGAGAATGATAAAAGGACAGAGTTATTATATAACACACAGTTCGGATTCTCCCGTTATCTTTCCCATCAGGGATAGGAAGAATTCTTGCCTTTTTTTTTTTTTTTTTAAAGATTTACTTGTTAAATCATACAGAACTGTGGTTCAGGTCAGAGGTGCAGGGGCGGCGAGAGGATTCACCAGAGTGGAGAGCAGAACAGGTAGATCAGCGAAGTACACTGCTGAGGGGAGCAGCAGGTGAGACAGGAGAGGTCTGCTGCCCATGTGGGTCACCTCTGGGGTAGGGATTGAACTCGTGCTGAGGCAGCTGTGGCTAGCTTGCAGTGCTGCACTTTAACCCGCTGCACCACCAGCGGGCCCAAATTCTTGCTTTTTTTGCTAAACTTGCCCCAAAGCCTGGGACTAAGAACCCCAGAGGGAGAGCTGGCTAGAGTTTCTGAAGTGTTCTGTTAGCCCTGTTACATTTGAAAATAGGAAAGTGACATAATCAGGGGTGTGTGTGTGTGTCTGCCGGAGAGATGTAAGAGATGTTTATCTGGATGTTTAAAAGTTGCAAATGGGAGCTTGGGAGGCTTGTGGGAGCTCATTCTGTGTAATAGAATACTTGCAGGCACAGCCTTTCTGATGGAACCTCAGGGAGAACCAATAACCGGGGTGTGCGTCCTCTGAAAGTGGCATATTTTTTATCAAAACTGTTTTAAAAAAAGACATTTGACTTTGTATTTCTGACTTAATGGCCATCTGTAGGGAACAGACTTGTCCTTCGAAAACCTGAAACTGAATGTCTGTGTATTGTTCTCCAGCTTTGCGTGGTGTCCCTGGCATTATTTAGGACTCTCATCGGTTTACACTGTGAAGATGTGATGTTACAGCTAATTCTGAGGTACGTTGCCATCTCTCATTCCCATTACAGAAAAACTTACTCTACGTTATTGCTGCTGTACTTTTTCTTGGGTGACATAAGCTAAGTAGGGGTCATGCTTCTAAAGGAAATCATCAAGAAAATCAATTTAATTTCTGCATTATTTCCCAAGGTTAATTTTAGTTGTACTATTAAAGGTTTTTTAGGAGCCAGATGCATTATAAATACACTCCTGGAAGCAATAGATAGACTGTTTGGAAATTTTCAGCAGTATCATGAAAGCTCTTTGCTCCACGGCTGAATGTTTTTCTCCTGAAGCACATTTTTGTGGCAACACAGGTCTGTGTTGCTGAAATCAGCGGCCCCAAATATGAAATGCTGTTGCTGGTTAGTGTTGTGGCTCTTGCTTCCACAACAGGGCACATACTGCGTGCACTCTCTGCCCTAAGCATGTCTCAGTTAAGTTCAGTAAATATTCAATGAGGACTTTATGTCTCCAGTTCGGGAATATGGGATGGAACCGGTGAATTGAAAGGACTTAGGACAGGGCGGAACAGGTGTGCCGTTTGGAAGCCAGAGAAGGTTCGGCACAGCGGTGTTTGAAGACAGGTGCTGGGAGAGGAGGTGGACTGCTCGGAAGATGACAAGTTGGTGACTTGGCACGGACTCGGGAATGCCTCACCCTGCCTCGACCCTGCTGTGTCTCCTGGGACGTCCCTGAGGGCACACTCAGCTTCTGTGTGGAAGAGGTGGAAGTTGGCCAGGGCTTGTGCTCTGGCACTCTTCTCTGGGGTCATGGAAACACAAAGGAAAAAGACAAGGGGTCATCGGGCACACGTGCCCCCTCCTGCTTCCCTTGTGGACTTCCAACTCTTCTTGGACCCGTCCTTGGGACTAGGGTGGAAGAAGCAGCAAGCAGGGGAGAGGGCAGAGACCTGAGGTGCCCCTGGTCCACGTGGGGGCTTAACACGACCTGAGCAGAGTTGCTGTGGAGGTGGTAGCTGGGGACTGGCAGGGGATGGCAGAGGGAACAGCAGCAGCGCCCAGGAATGAGCTAGAAATGCAGATTCTCGGCCTTCTCCAGGTGTGCTGATCAGAGATGGGGGAGATGGGCAGCGACTGTGTCCGATGGACTCTCCGGGCTTCTGCTGACGCAGACGCCTCACGTGGCAGGCAGGTGTGGCTGAATTTGAGATCCACCGACTTTGGGAATGGTGCAGCACCCTGTAAAAGGAAGTGATTAAAAAGAAAACCGGGCTGGAAAAACTGTTGGTGTCATAAAGAGGGCGGTCCCACAGTTACCGACTCACAGAGTCTCACCTATTAATTTTTAAGTTTAAGAAGAGTGTTTGAACTTTTGAAGGGTTTAGATCAGGTCATCAGTAACTAATCTTCAGGCATTAGCAAAGAACAAATCCGATCATAAAGAAATGCCCTGGGTAGATGGGGTAGAGCATTAGTTATCTGTCCTAAAAGGATTACTTCAGCTCCCCATGTCGCTACTGATATGATAGAATACATTAGGCAGACCTGAATGAAATGACTCAGAGCAACTTGGTAAAGCTTTTTCTACTGCCAAGCTCTAGCCTTTGCCGCCACCAAGGGAAAAACCTGATTATATTCAAATTATTGAATCCTGCTTCTGGGATGGCATGAAAAGCAGCGTCTTGTTCAGTGGCCCAGCTCAGGAAGGACAGAGCTTTCCACCTCTGGGTGACCAGGGCCCTTTTCGCCCAGCTGGGGGAGCTGGCTGCTCAGTGACCTTCATCAGGTGACTGCCCCTCACCTTTTGTCTGCCGTGAAGCAATGTCTGTGGAAAACCAGCCTCAGAGACAGTTAAGTCCTCTTCAAGACCTTATGAAGGTGAAGAAACTAGCGTATGTTTAAGATACTTACTGCACACGTTGGAGCTAGTCACATCCAGGCTGGGGCGGAAATCCCCCGGGAGGTGCCCGAAGCTGATGCCGCCACAGGTGCTGAGTGGAATGACGGGGAAGCCACTTGGCCACCAGGCCCCAGGCTCTCTGAGACCAGGTTTCTTTAATGAGTGACAGTGATCCTGGGTAAGAATAGTTGCCCTTTACCGAATCCGTAGCTTCTAATTCCACCAAAATGCCTGGGCTAAGTCAGATGGATAACAAAGTAGAAAACTCATGCAGAGGTCGGGCAGGTAGTAGACTCGCAGGCAGTGTGTAGACTTCCTTTCACATGTGTGAAAAAACTTTCTGCTCTCTGTCCTGTATTGACTTTCCCCCCAGCTTTTAAAAGTATTTTTTAAATTAGCATACGTTGTCCCTTCAGTCATCTCCAGACTGAATACATCCATACAGTAAATACATCCATACAGTAGTCATCTCCAGAACAGTTTCACCCTTTAAGGCCCTGAGCCCACAGAACAGGAACCACATTTCTCCCCCCTCTAGCCCCTGAGAGCGGCCCTTCTTTCTGTCTCCATGAATCTGACTGCTCCAGCAATCCCATGTGAGTGGAATCAGACAGTGTTTAGTTTATTTTTGGGCCTAGTTTATTTTTGGGCCTAGTTTATTTCATTTAACGGTGTCACCAGGGCTCCTTTGTGTTGGAATGTATGTCACTGTTTCCTTTCTTTGTAACACTGAATAATCTTTCATTGCTTATATGCTGCTGTGTTTGTCTATCGATGGACCTTTGGGTTGACTCTACTTTTGGCTACAGTGAACAGTGCTTCTGTGAACATGGGTATACAAATAGCTCTCCAAATTCTGCTTTCCGTTCTTTTGGTGTGTACTCAGAAGTGCAGTCACTGGATCATATGGAATTCTATTTTATTTTTAGACTTTATCTTTTGTCACAGCTACACCATTTCTATGGCAAACAACTGTGTACAAGAGTACCCATTTCTCGATATCCTCACCAGCACCTATTTTTTTCTCTTAACAAAATGGATGATTTAATAATCAAACAAATTGGGAGGAGAATTTGAAGAAGAACCAACAAGAGCTTTTAAAAATAAAAATATGTGATTGTTAGAATGAAAAACTGAGTGGGGGTGGATAGCGTTTAAGACACAGATGAAGATAGAATGAATGAACTTGAAGATAGATTGAAGAAGTTACTAAATTTGCAGCAGAGAGAGATAAAGGGACAGCTGTGAAAACAAGGCCTTGAACAGTGAGGCTAGAACAAGAAGAAGACATGTTCTGTGAGAGCCCCAGCACAGAGTTGACCACTGATGTCACTTGGCCTGTGCTGAGTTTGGAATTTGTCACCTCATAGGTTTTGGGGGAGGATGAGTTGTGCTGATAGTTGTGAAAATGTTTTGAAAAACTGTAAAGTACAACATTAATGGAAAAGAGGAGAATATATTTTAAGCTAATGAAAACAATGTCTTCCCTGATTTAGAATATGTATCACAGCAGGGACAAAGAAAAATCCTTATTGTTCTAGTCATTTGAGCTTTATTTTAAAGGACATAAATGTAATTTATTGTCCATCCTTTTAGTTATTGCTACTATAGTCATTCAGATGTACATGATCAACTTGTAAATCTGAGAGACAATAGAGAATTGAGGATTATGTGAGCCCTTTTAATGAAGCTGTTTGTTATGTGATAAATAATTACGTCAATTTCTTTTTGCAACCTAAACACTCTTTAAACTTCAACATTTCTAAGTCATAATCCATTTGTATCTGTTTCGTTTACTTAGCAAAATACCAGAAGAGTAGCTGAAATAAGGTAGTCCTCACAGGAAGCTGTTTTGGTGAGCAGAAAACCAAGGAGAAATTATTCACTTTCAGGGACATCACATTCCAGATAGGCCCAAGCCTGATGGACACGCTGATGAGCAGTGACATATCACCCCTATGTTCCTGGCTTTTCCCAGTTTAGGCAAAGTTTAATTGCTTAATGTCCTGAATGCCATTTCTGAATTTTCTGGTTGGGCTGTTCTCCCTGCCCCCACCCCAGACTGGTCCATTGTCAGTTTGATGAGCTGCCAGTTGTGTTCAGAATCAGGTGGTCTAACACCAAGAGAAGTATACTGCAGGAACATTTATTTCCATCTGTGTGGGGATGAGGTGTCTGGAGGAGAGTTAAAAACAAACCAACAAACCCCAGCACATCAAGGATAGAATGAATAGGAGAAATATGGCCAGAAGTTCTTTGAAAAACAAATGAGCTTTTTGAAATTTACTGACGTTGCTTTGTGGGGTTTTGCCCATGGCGGCCATTGACGTTCTCGGCATCTCATAGGAAGCACTTTGCTTACTTCGCTGTGCTTTCCTGTTCTGTTTTTTGCTTGTTTTTATTGTCAGTGCAACAGCCAGCTACATATATCTGCTTGGCTATCGATCGGTTGTCACTGGATTGTTTCAAAAGTGATGATGATTCATTTTAATGAGTGATATTTAGGAAGCTAGAAAGTAGACCCAGAGTTTTAGGGGGTTGGGAAATAATGAAAAAGTGGAGGATGATACAGACAATATTTTTTTCCTACTACATTGTGGGATGGCTTTAAGTAATCTGGACTAAATCAGATATTTACTAGTCTCTAATTATTTTTAGTGCTTCCCAAATTTAAGATTCTCAAACAGAATCAACGTAGCATAAACAAAAAGATAGTTTGATGACACATACCTGTACTAAATTCCTAAGTGGTTTTCTACTATCGACAGTCTTTCCTTTTGATATTTGACATTTGGAAAGCTTCTGACATTCATGCTGGTCCTAATCTTTCCCTGAACATGATAGAAAGACCGAGGGTCACTGTGTGGTTTTCCTACTCTTCCCTCTGGGGTCATCCTTCATTTTCAAGGCACAGTAGAAGTGCTGCTTTGAATACAAGGGGGGTTATTTATGAGAACTTACGCTTCCATTTCCAATTCATAGGCCTGCTCTACAACCTATAGGGGATCTCCCTTTATTTGTTTTTCTCAGAAGAAAATTTTTAGTTTCTACTGAAAGCATGTCCTATTTTTTTTAATACTTCAAACAAGAGTAGAAAAATGTGTGTACCAACTTAAATCATGAAATATGCATGGTTTGAGCTGTAAGTATTTGTAAAGTTCCTGTAGTATGAAAAAGCATTGAAGCAGCTTCAATATTTTAGAAAACTCATGCTCAAAATAAAGATACAATAAATTTTGTGTAATATGAATCTCCCTAGGGCTCCCCAGCTTTTGTGGCCAGAAGGGTTTGCATCAACAGCCGTGAGACTGGTTTCCAGCTTCTTCCCTCCGCCCCCCAGATCCAAGACCTTGAGCCCGGCAAAGCGTCAGCTGTCACTTCTGGGATGCCCAAAAGGAGGGGTCTTGCGTGTGCTCACAAGCAGCTCTGTCCGCCACGGCAGCTGCCCGCCAGACTCCCAGGGCCTCCTCACCTGCTGAGCCCCTTGTCTCTCTCTGCCGGGCCCCAACCCTCCTGAGAAGGCAGGGGTGCTGAGGTGCTGGAGCAGCATGCCCTCTCTTGGCGTTCAGTCAGGAGGAGGAGGCCTCTTCCCTGCATCATTTTTGGTCACCAAAGTATCTCTAGAGATTGTGAAGGAAGGGCCCTTTTATTTTCTGCCTGTAGCATTCATGCCTTTGTCAGTCAAATACAGTCTCCCAAGCTGGACCCAGAATTAGAGCAGACATGACCCTCTCCTCTGCTGTCCCCCACCGGGCAGAATGTTTCGATAACAGACACTGTTCATACTCAGTTCTACCAGCAAATGGGACATATTCTTTCTAATAAAGAAACTGGCATAAGTAAGGGAATTCGGTGAGATGGATGGTTTGAGAGTGAGGTACAGCAGGAGATTAAATTGTGAGCACCTGCAAATGCTTTGCAGAGGGGGTATGCTGTCAGAAGAAAGAAGCCCTTGGTCAAAAAGGATGTGTCCACTGCTGGCCACGACTGGTCCTGATTGGTGGAGGGGTGCGACTGGGGCTGGCCACTGCAGAGACTGAATGCCGGTGCTTATTGTCCTTCCAGGTATCTGATCCCATGCAATCACATGATGCTGAGTCAGAGGTGGGCTGTGAAGGAGAGGGACTGTTACTCTGTTTCTGCAGCCAAGCTGCTCGCCCTCACCCCGGTCTGCTGCTCCAGCGGGATCACCCTGACGCTGGGGAACCAAGAGAGGGATTATATCCTGTGGTCCAAGCGTGAGCTTGAGTGCTCAGGTAGGTGCATGGCGATCTTGAAACCAAAGGATGCGAAGGCCCGTCTGTCCTCGGGCCCGTCTGTCCTTGGGGCTGTGTCCCACTAGGAAGACAGGGAAGAATGCCCCGAGTCCTGTTTCTTTGGTGAATGACTGGTTGGGAGTCCTTTCGTGGTTGGTGAGGGGTTAGGGACACTCGTAATCAGTGATCATTGACGCTCCCCCGGACCTTGAACTAGTCTTTCCAGTGGCCTCCAGAGTCCAGATGCGAAAACAGACACCAGGTGTTTCCTGACGGCGTAGCGGTGCCTGCAGCTGAGATAGAATTAGCCTTTCTTTTCATCTTCAGTGGCCAGGTGGAGATGCTGGCCTGTGAGTCAGACATCATTGTAAAACTTGCAACTGGCGATAAGACAGCAATATCCGATATGTCTGATTGACCCAAGGAGGGAGTTTTCATGTGCTGTGTTTTTGCAGGCATTTTGGAACACATGTGCTGTTTGCCAGCTGCAGTCAGCCTGGTACAAGTAGAATTTAAACAGCCACCGTGTCAGCCTCGGCCCTCTGCCGGCAGCCGACAGGGGGCGTTTGTGTGTCTTTGAGGGCCAGAAGAGATTTCAGTTTAGGAAGCTTCTGCCGCCCTGGGACCACTAGGAAGTGGCCAGACCTGGTGCCCACACAGGTGTATCCAGTCTGCCGCCTGCCCTGCCCCCAGCCCCTTCACAATGTCCTTCTGTCCACCCAGCCACGGTCAGCTGAGTCCTAGCTCAAGAAATAACAACATTTGATATAAATGCAGTTTTTAGAAATTAAGGTTGCCTTACTGATTCTTGGCCTTGGAAGTCAGTAATTTTGGGCTACTTTTTTTTTTCTTTTAATAGCAGGTTGTGTTTTAAATATATTTTCTAGTTAGGTAAAATTTTTTTCCTTAAACTCTTGGAAGTTGATGTCTTTTTTTTTTTTTTAACTATAAAAGTGGCTTCAAGTGTGATTCTGTGGCAGATCTTGCCACAGAATTCAAAAGTCATGCTCAGCGTGTCCCCGCTGTGTGCCTGTAACTGCCTGTCTCTCCCTGTGTGGTCAGTTGGTCCTTTCCAGAAGACAGTTTTCCCGCCTTACAGGTAAACACACAGCCTGGGAGAGTGGGAGACACTTGTTCAGGGCTGTGTGACAGGTGGAGCCCGGCCTGATTCCACGTTCTGAGCCTCTGAGGCTGGCTTCCGGAGGCTGAGACCCAGAGTGTGAGCGATGAGGGTGAGGGTAGGCGGGGGCGGGTAAAGTAGTTATTCTGCAGTGCTTAGCGGCTTGGATTCAGAGCCTGGGCTTTCGCAACCTTTCCAAACACTGGCCTCATCGGTACCTACCGCAAAGGGTTGTGCCAGGCTTGGGTTGAAACATGCAAGGCTCTTAAAACAGCTTGGTCATAAATATTGCCAGTGGTAGTCTGGCTGTCTTTTTCTTCCAAGTGGCTAAGAAGACTAACCTTTAGTCGTAGAAATAAAAGATAGATTATGTTTGTACTTAGGAACTGCAGCTGTACGGTCTTAAAGTCCATTTCTGGCCCAGACTGGTAGAGGCTTAATGATGAGACAAGACAGTGGAGATGGTGTGGCTGAGCGACGGGGTGGGCGGGAGCCGTGCTGGCCGCCCACCCTGAGGCTTCTTCTGTACACGCAGAAATAACTCCTGCCGCGCCGTGTTCAAATTAGACACTGACTGCTGCTTAGTAGATGTCTGAGAAGTGACGGACAGGTATTTCTCCTTGTCTCAATTCTTTTTCTCTTCCGGAAAAAATGTACACCTCAATGCAGATGTTTCCACAGCTACTTCAGTAATGCGTTGCGGCCTCTAACGTCAGAGGTCAGCGTGGCCCAGAGGCACATTCCTGGGCTAAAAGACCATTTTGGAGGTGACTGTGATCTTCATAAGAGAGCACTTGGATATACCGCTATAGCCATGACCTGGGGAGAATCAGCTAACAGGCTTTTCTCCAATCCCAGAGGGTTTTTTTTTTTTTGAAAAGTTTTAGCTCCCCAATTTTTGAGTCATGTGCTTTTTTTTTTTAAAGATTTATTTATTTGTACATACAGAACTGGGGTACAGGCCAGAGGCTCAGGGTCAGTGAGAGACTTCACCAGAGACAGAGCGGGGAGCAGAACAGGCAGATCAACGAAGTACACTGCTGAGGGGAGCAGCGGGCGGGTCAGGAGAGGTCTGCCACGCCATGTGGTCTCCTCCGGGGCAGGCGGGGATTGAACTCATGCGGAAGTGGCTTTAGCTTCTCAGTGCAGTGCTTTAACCGGTTGCGCCACCAGGAAGGGCCTGAGTCATGTGCTTTTGACTTTAGTGTTTATAGAAAACTTTGTAATTATTACCAGACCTGTGGCAGGTGCTAGTTTCTCTCCCTGATTTAAGCCTCTCAGCAACTTGAGAGGTTGCCTTTATTCATCGTCTTTCTCTCCAGCTTCTGTCGACTCTCGCTGGACCTGGCTCTGTCTTTGATGAGGTAGCGTTTCTGTGCTAATCTTTCCTCTTTAATATCTCCCCGTTAAAATATGATTCAGAGGTAACTCACTGATATTAATGCTTACATTACTATGTATAGCATGCACCCACAGATAATTTATTAATATTTATAATTTATAGACTCACAACATATCATGAATAAATGATGAAAATTTTGTAAAATATTTTTTAAAAACATATTTTAAAATCATTTAATTAGAACGTAAGTAGCTGCCCCCCCCACTAGCCCGTGGCCTGTAGCTGCCCCCCCCAACCCCCCCCCACTGGTCGTGGCCTGCCTTCCGCTGATGTGTCTCTCCCGTGGCAGGGCCGGTGCAGGAGCAGCTCCCTGAGGCCTTCTCCCCGTCGGCCTGCATCGTGGAGTACGGGAAGGCGCTGGACATCAGCTACCTGCAGTACCTCTGGGAGGCGCACACCAGCATCCTGCACTGCATGCGGGACTGTCGCGTCTGGTCCGCCCTGTATGACGGAGAAGCCCCCGACCCCGAGTCGCTTCTCCGGAGCCTGGCAGAGGAGAGCGTGCCCCCCACCCCTCACCCTGTGTTCAGGCTCCCGCAGCAGCTCCCCAGGAAGACAGGGCCTCAGCCCGCTCCCAGGAAGGAGAAGAGCCAGACGGAGCTGGAGTGGGACGACAGCTACGACACGGGCATCTCCTCGGAGGCGGATGTGGGCTCCCCGGGGGCTGACGATGATCTGGAGCGCTCGGGCCCGCCCGCGCCCATCGAACCCCCAAAACACATCCAGGAGATGAAGAAAAATGCAATCCTGCTCTTCAAAGGCTCGTACATCGAAGAGTCTGACTTTCAGGATGACGTGATGGTGTACAGGTTGTGTGCCGAGAAGGACGCAGAGGACCCTGGGAACCCACCAGGGGGAGCTCCCAGGCCCCCCTCCCCAGCTGAGGACACTGGGAACCCACCAAGGGGAGCCCCCAGGCCCCCCTCCCCAGCTGAGGACACTGGGAACCCACCAAGGGGAGCCCCCAGGCCCCCCTCCCCAGCTGAGGACACTGGGAACCCACCAAGGGGAGCCCCCAGGCCCCCCTCCCCAGCTGAGGACACTGGGAATCCACCAGGGGGAGCCCCCAGGCCCCCTTCCCCAGCCCTGACTGAGCTTGCCAGTCCCCCGACGAACAACGGTCCCCTGCCCAGCCCTCAGCCAGAAGCGGATCTAGAGGCAGCAGCTGGTCAGGGCATGTCTGACCTGTTTCAAGAGGTGGCCAAGGGACCGAAACAAGAGGACAGGCCTGAAGTACCCCCAGAGTCGAGCTCAGAGTTGACAGCCCTCCTCTCCGACGCAGGGCACAGCCCAGACCCAGGGGTCCCTGACCCAGACGGTGAAGATTTCATGGCCCAGTATGACCAGATCATTAGGGAACTGGATTCTGGCACGGAGGGCTTGACAGAACAGAACTTCTCCTCCCCTGACCCCTTGCTTTTCGTAAAAGAGGCAGAGGGGGAGGTAGAAGAGAGCAGAGGAGACGAGGAGGCGATGGAGGAGGAAGGGAAGAAGGAGTTAGAGGAGGACGAGGATGACTTTGACTCTTTCCTAGTGGAAACTCCTGCTGCGGAGACCGTGCCGTCGCCCTTTGGGGTGAGAGACGAGACTGCCTTTGCCAGTCACCAGCCGGCGCGGACTCAGAGCACCCCCTTCACAGGTGACCACCGTAAATTGCTTGTGATTTCTGCTTGTGAAAGTACTTGTACCTTTTGCAAAAGGAAGTAAGGTAGGTGACGGTGAGGAGCCGCCGCGTTTCCTAGCGGCATTAACTTTCCTAGCGGCATTAACTTTCCTAAAGGGAAAGTTTAACGCCAGCAGGTTAAAGTTAGATTTTACTGTTTAGTAACTTGGTATGTCCTTGAGAAAATAACAGGACGGACTGAGTCTCATCTCATTTAATTTGAAAGCCACTTAATTTGAAAGCCGCAGTTCCTTTAGTCTGAATTTTCTCCTTAGCGTTTTTTAAAAAAGCATTTTGAGAACAGTTTAGCCTCCCTCCCACCCCGAGTGCATGCTCTCCGAGGGCACAGGCGTTGTTGACTTGTCTCTGCCCTCTCCTGGCCCCTGGCCCTGGCTCGAGCTCAGGATACTCGCTGAGTAAATGGAGTTGTGCTCCCACTCAGAGGCTCTTGGGGCAAGTTGTGCCTTTGCCGGGGAGCTCGTTTCAGATCACCGTAGAATCCTCACCCACACACCCATGGAGGAGACACATGCACATCCCGCTCCACGAAAGAATGGGTGTGTCCAGCGGTGCCCCCAGACCAGGTAGAGAGCGTGTGGCGGCAAAGTGTGTGCTCGGCAGCACGTCAGGTGAGACTCGTGAGAGAAAGCACCGTTAAATATCACCCGTCTGCAGTCTCAGTCTGCAAATTCTGGCACAGAAGGGTCTGGCACAGAGGGCTCAGCTCAGGGAAGGCGGGGACCCCTGCCAGATGTTCAGGTGCAAGAAGCTGGTACTGCAGAGGGCCAGACGGTGGCCCGGAGTCAGGCCTGTGGGGTAATCCTGGCTCTGGCACTCCGGGGCCACCTTGGCCTTCCTGACCTGCCCTTGGTCCCTCTGAGGGTGATGAGACACTGAGGGCGGAGATGCAGTGCGTTATTAAAGATCACGGGGCGTTCCCGGCACCCCTGGGCCTGTTCTTCCCTAGCAAGCCTGGAGCAGCCGGGCGAGAAGACCACGCTCCCCACTGCTTGGGTCACCTGGCGCAAACACATCGCTTTTGCTTCCCATCCAGCCAGGGAGACTTAGTGTGGTTTCCAGGAGCTGGCCTGCCCTCCTCCACTGCTCTTTTCATCGACTTGTTGATGCCCAAACATTTCCTTGAAGAGGGAGAAAACTTTTAATGCCACAATGAAAAGAGTTGAGGTTGTAGTTGTGATAACATTTCCGTGTGAATGGGTTTTAATTAAAATCCAATCAGTCAATCACCAAGTAAAAAGATTAGATGATCTTGCTCTTCCTAGTTGTGAGGCAGGGGCGGGGCCTGGGGACTCGGAGGGGTCAGGACAGCAGTGGCCAGCCCACGGCAGTCTGCCTGAGGCAGGAGTCAGTGCGTCTGTCTCTGGGGTGTTTTCATAGCTGGACTCACTCCAAGAAATGTATGCAAAGATGTTCGTTGGGGCGTGCTTTTGATAGACTACAAGCCCAGTGTCCACTAGCAGGAGACTGTTTCACCAGTACGACACCCACGTGACGGCATGAGCCTTCATCCCCGAGATGACCCGTTGGGGCCGTCTCAGCACAGTCAGGCTCGGCCTGACGAACCTTCAGTCACGGACAAACGCATGCGTGCCGCCTGCTGCGGGCCTCCCTGTGCGGGGCCTCTGCCGGCTGGGACTGTGCGGGGCGAACTCACACAGGCAGATCAGGCTGCTTTTCTCAGAACTTAGCCCCGAAGTCTGGGGACACATGACTGCCTATTATTAACTGGACTCTCTCACGTACACACACCGACCTGGAAAGCAGGACATGTGTTGGGTAAGAGCATAGGCCTTGGGGCCAGATGGCCTGTGCTAAAGTGGGGCTCTCATCGACTGCCTGTTGCCCCAATTCTGCCTCCTCTTTAACTGGGCGTGAAGAATAAGCTCGTTTCATGGGGTGGTTCTGAGAGTTTAAGTACGTCGATGCATGGGTGGAAATGTGCTTAGAACCTTTCTTGACACATTGGAAGTGATTAACGAGTGTTTTTGATAACAATTCCATTATATTTTATTATACACACAAAACATTTCTGGAAGCATACTCTCGCATCTGCCAAGAGGGCCTGCCTGCCGCCAGAGCACAGGTCTGTGTCTCATCCTCCTACAGGAGATAGTTCTGCACTGCTTGGGGGTGGGGTGGGGGTGGGGAGGAGTTCAAATCATTTTATTCTCTATTAAAATAGAAAAACTGACTGGATTTCTGACGAGTGATGATGAGTCTGACCTCGGGCGTGCTGGCAGAGGAGGGGAGGGCAGGGGAGGTGAAGGTCTCCCCTCAGGAGTATCTCTAAGGGGAAAGTGGCTGAGTTGAAGCTGGGGTCCCAGAGCAGGAGGCAAGCAAGCGGAGACCCAGGCTGGAGGAGGGGCCTTGAGCAGAGGGACATGACAGGGAGGCCATGGAGATAGTCTTGGTTGTGCTGAAATTAAGTATTTTATGTGTGGGGAATTCATCTTCCTAGAAGAAGAAGGGGACAATGCTCCTGCAACCCTACGCGTACCTGTGGCTTTCTGACTGCAGCTGAGTTTTCTGCTGTTTACCAGTTTCCCTAGCAACTGTATTTTGCCAATAAACAGGCCTTTTTTTTTTTCTGTAGTGCTAGGCATCAAGAATAAACAAGAATTCAAAAAGGCTTGATCTATATTTTTTATTTTTCTCCATGCCTAACAAGTTGTAATGAAAGTCAGTAGTGGATTATAATGACAGTCTACTGGCCTCAATCTAATATTTGCTACTCAAGTGAGATGATGATACTTACTCCCTGCAGGACGTGGTGTTCATGCGGTTTCCCCCTCCTTTGTAGCAGTAGATTGCCAGTGCCATCCTGGCCTCTGCGTGGTCAGTAACTTCCATGGTTACCAGGTGGTGGATGAAGCCAAGTCCAGATCAGTCAACGAAGGCGGTTGTTGGTTCACGCTAAGGACACATGTTTCACAGGACACTCTACCCTCCCACATGTGAACTGATTGACCTGCACTGGGAGGAAGCAGGTGCAAGCCAGGGCCAGCAGGTGAGAGGGCTGGAAGCCCTGTGCCTGGGATCACGGCCTTCTCCATCTACCCGGAAAGCCAGGATTGTGTTGTGATGCCTTAGAGTGACCTGTGATATTCCTGCCATGAGGCTGCTTTCCAAGTGGGGCTTCGATCATGTTTCTGAATGTCCTTGGCCAGCTCTTCAGCTGTGTTTTGTAAGTGAGGACTCTCCACAGCTCTGCACTTGAAGATGCCCCTGACCTCCAGGCTCCTGGAAAGGGAGCCGCAGGCGGAGCATGAGGGATGCAGCCTTCTCTGTGCCCAGAGACCCCTAGGATGTGTTCCCTGGGGACTTCAGTGTTCCCAGGGACAGGAACTCTGCCATCACCCCATTACTTGCCTGTGGGTAAAAGGTTTAGGCCTATTCCCATTTCTCACCAACAGCTTGTTCTCTTGCAAGGGCTTCGCACTCTCACGCCACCGTAGCTTCTCAATGAGGCATCTTGTGATGAAGTATGTCTTTGTCAAACTCATTAGGAGTGCTGACATCTTGTGAGCCGTGTTTACTCATCTGAGCCAGGTACTTCTCTGTTGCAGGGACGTTAGGGACACCCAGTAGCCCCACTGGGGGAAATACACACTTCTCATCGGTTTTGCTTTTATTGTAAAAATGGAAAACATCTTCGAGTAAATTCATGCCAATAGCCTTGCTTTCCCTCCACTTTAATGAACTCAGGCATAAAGATAATAACCTTCTAGTGACCCAAATTAGTCAAACCTCTTTAGACTAAGTTTTGGATGCATTGCTCATGTCCTCATCTCGCTTTTCCTTTTGGAGGAACACGGTGCACCAAGCTGTAGCCCCCAAACCAGGGTTCCTTTTTTTCTCTTTCTCTCATCTGAAAATTGAGGTGTAGCCGCCCAGTTGCCAGCCCCATCCCACCCTTTCTCTGTCTTCTTCTGGTTCTTCCATTTTTGTTGTGCCATTTGGCAAGACAGAATCTTTGCCATTTGTTTCTTGGGGGTAAACAGTCCTTTTTCATACTGTGGTTATTTGATGAACATGGTTTGTATGTATTTATTTGATAGTCCTGGATGTCTACATAAAGTTTTTGTGGCTTCAAATATTTGCACAAAACCCTGTTTGGGGAGATGACAGGTGTCATGCTTTTCAGCCTCAGCAACCCCAAGAAGTATGGCAATATGGAAAAGTCTATCTTATTTTTTAAATTAATTATTCATACAGAATTGGGGTACAGGTCAGAGGTGCAGAGGCAGTGAGAGGCTTCACCAGAGACAGAGTGAGGAGCACAACAGGCGGGTCAGGAGAGGTCTGCCGCGCCCTGTGGGTCAGGTCCGGGGCAGGCAGGGATCGAACTCCTGCTGCAGTGGCTTTGGAGAGCTTCATAGTGCGGCGCTTCAACCCCCTGCGCCACCAGGGAGGGCCCGGAAAAGTATATTTTTATTTAAAAAATTAATCTGTCCTCTGATTGTTCTTTTCAAGGTCTGGGCTCATCTGCACAGTATTAAAACTGCTCATGGAGGCCAAGTGTTAGCTCCGTGCACATTTTCTGCTCGTTGCAGCACCTGCGCATGTTCTGCTCTGGTCTTGGGGCCACGTCCCTGTGCGCCCTGCCACTGGCAGGCCTGTCCAGGCTTGGGGGCTGTGGCTTCCGGGCGCCTTCGTCAAGGAAGTCGGGCTCTCGCGCCCCTCTTGTGCCCAGCCAGCCTGAAGCCTTGTGTTCCTCCTGCAGGCCCCTTCATCAGCGTGGTCCTGTCCAAGCTGGAGAACATGCTGGAGAACTCTCTGCACGTGAACTTGCTGCTCATCGGCATCATCACCCAGCTAGCCAGCTACCCCCAGCCGCTCCTGCGCTCCTTCCTGCTCAACACCAACATGGTCTTCCAGCCGAGCGTCCGCTCACTCTACCAGGTGGGTGCGCGAGCCCACGGCCACCCCTGTTGGCTTTGCGGGCGCTAAAGAGCAGGGCTCCTTTTCTCCTTCCCCTTGCTATTTTGTTGTTTTTAACCAAGTCCTCTGTTCTAATTCGTTTGCTTCCCTGCCCTATCCTATGGTGCTGGTTGCTTAGATTATTCTAGAAAAAATGCAAACTTCATTTAGCTTGATGTTCTCAGGGTGCCCTACCAGGAACGCCCCGGCAGTTGAAAACAAGCACATGCCTCCTACCATAGAAATTCCTGCAACGAGGGCTGCACCTGAGAGATGTGTTGAAAACCGAGGGTGGGACGCTGTTGTGCAGCACGAACTTCATTACTGTGGTTTTTGACAGGTCCTTGCGTCTGTGAAAAACAAGATAGAACAGTTTGCGTCTGTGGAGAGAGACTTCCCGGGACTCCTCATACAAGCCCAGCAGTACCTGCTCTTTCGCGTGGACATGTCTGACATGACCCCTGAGTCACCCACCAAAGGTCAGCCAGGTCCCCCGTGTCTGCTTGGCTACTCCTGCATTTCCTCAGCCTCCTTGTTTGGCTTCACAGATGCTGCGTTGGCTCCTGGGCCCTAAAGCCATCGAACTCTAGTTTCATTTTGACCCCGCAGAGAGGGCCCGGCCTTCTTCAGTGTCCTTACACCGAAAGAAAGCCTGCCCTGCTCGCACCTGCTGGTCCAGCCCGGAGGGCGTGGGGCACTTGCTTCCTCACTGAGAGCCGCTCAGGGAGGAGCGAGGTAAGGCCGTGCCAGGCCTTCCTGGGAACTGGCCCATGGGGCACAGGAGCTTTGTGGGCACACCCTGGCCAGTCTTCAGGACGCTGTCCCCTGAGGAAAGCGTCCGTTCTCTTTATTGTGTTTTCAGACTCTCAGACCAGTGATAAGTATGTTTTAGTACTTTAGAGGGAAAAATTATTCAGACTGTGAGAAGTAAGTGTTCTGCTTAGCTCTAGCTTCCTGAGGTCGCCTTTTTATCCGCTCTGGAGGTATTAGACTGGGGGCCTGGCGGCAGCCGGTGTGGGGCGCGGAGTTGCCGAGCAGGAGCCTGGACGGGCCTGCTTTGCCTGCTTTAAGCTCAGGTGGGGCACACCTGAGGGCCAGCCGTCTTCTGAGCTGAGACTTTGTCTTTGGTGGGTGCCAGCTAGGCAAGGCAAGGCCTTGTCACTCTGGCTTTCCCTCATCTCGTAGACAGTGAGGCTTCTTTCTGACAGGTGAGCAGTGCAGGCGGGGCTCTGAGTCTTCAGCTAATACATACAGGTCTGTGATCAGAGACAGGGCTGACAGCCAGAGGCAGAAATGTGACTGAGGGCAACCTTTAAGTCTTTAAAGGAAGCTGCGAAGACCCCAGAGCCACCAACGCCTGCCCTTGCCTCTGTATGGCGACTTGATCTTGGTCACGAGGCCTCACTGGGCCTCACGTTCCCTAACTCTGAAATGAAGGGTTCTTTTACTTTTTCTTTCTTTTTTAAAGATTTATTTATTTGTGCGTACAGAACTGGGGTACAGGCTCAGGGGCGGCAAGAGGCTTCACCAGAGACAGAATGGGGAACAGAACAGGCAGATCTACAAAGTACACTGCTGAGGGGAGCAGCGGGCGGGTCAGGAGAGGTCTGCTGCGCCATGTGGTCACCTCCGGGGCAGGCGGGAATCGAACTCATGCGGAAGCGGCTTTAGCTTCTCAGTGCTGTGCTTTAACCCACTGCGCCACCCAAGAGGGCTGAAGGGTTTGTTTTTCATCTCTCAATCCTTTCTGGCCTTAGGACTGTGGGTGTGAAAAACCTTCAGCCACTGCAAGGCAGCGTTTGGGAAAAGGTGCTGCTTTGCTGGCAGATGAGGGCTAGGTGCGAGCACTGGCCCTTGGGAAGTGCCATCCAAGCCATTTGTGGAAGAAGGTGGACGGTGGGTCCACAGGGCCTCCTCCACGAGGACACGGGCAGTGGCCAGTTCCTCCTGACAGGAGCGTGCCGCGAGGGAGGGTGCGCCAGTTCGCAGGACCAGCCAGCGCAAACCCCGTCTTCGCTGGAAGCCATCTAGGAGCGCTCGCCTGGCGCTGGCTGAGCTGGGGGCTGGGCGACTGGTCTTGGCTGGACTCACCAGTGAGTTGCCATCAGCCAGAGGTTGATGCCTGGGCTACCTCCCTCATATCAGTGGGGCAGTAGGGGTCTGCATCTCTCAGCCCTGCCTGTCAGCATCACAGCTGCAGGCTGGGCAGGTGTGAGAGCAGGAACATCCAAAATCTATTGAGGCTCTAGCTTGGGAGGCCAGTTCTGCGCACCCATTGGCCAGAGCAGGTCACCGACTGGAGAAGTTGGGAACCAAGCAAGTGTCCCTGTTGCGCAGAGCAGGGCCGTGTCTGCAGCCCTCCAGAGGTGACTTCAGTCTCCCAACGTGGCACCGTGGATCTATCTTTGTTTATATTTCATAGTTTGCAAAGTGCTTTCCCAGCCAGGTTTTATGAAGTTACACAGAAGGCAACTTCATTTTCACATGAGGAACTAGAGGCCTGAGTCAGCCAGGATCACAGAGCTCCAGAGCCCATGGGGGCAGGTACATTCCCCGGCCCACATCCGAGGCCCTCCTTGGTGAGGGGCCTCTTAACCACAGGTGGGGGGGTGGAGTGGAGTGCTGGGGCCCCTCCGGCCTTGTGCTCTGTCCTGGCTGCCAGGTGTGAGCCCAGGGGACCTGGTTCCCACTGCGTGTGGTTGTCTAGGTACCCAGCTGTGGTTGAGGCTTTCAGACATCTGTGACCTGCAGGGACGCTGACTTGCAGGACATGTCTCACTCCCTTAGGGAGTGTTTCAGGGGGCCGTTCTGACGTCTCCCTGGGTAGCAAAATGACACCCTCCCTACACGTAAGACAGCTCTAAACTCACAGAGTGAGTGGGGTGCGTGCCCCTCACAGCGCTGAGAAGCCACGTGTGCAATGTGGTAGCCCGAGAAGAAGAATTGCTTTCCCCGAGAACTTGGGCGCTTGGCCAAATAGCCTCCCGTGTCTGTGTGCCATTCATTTTGCTCACTCTGCCTCCGTCTGGCAAGGTGGTGAGTGAGTGGGCTGTGGGCCTCTCTGCTCACTTCTGAAGTCTTCCCAGCACCCATCTTGAAAACCTTCCCCGCATCTTTCGAGGGCCACTCCTGCACGCTCCTGCGCAGTGTCTGCCGTCTGGCGCTTGCTCCCCTTTTACAGCCCCTAACACTGGCTCCTGAGCCCCTGCTCATGGCGCAGGCACTACACTTCCTGGACTCCTGGCAGCCTGGCTGAAAACGGGGTCTCCCCACTAAGGCTTCTGACAGAAACAGGTGCTGGGTGGTCGCTGTGCCGAGGCGGGAGCTTCTAGTCAGCCACCTCTTCAGATCCTGGAGGCTGTTCGACTGAGGCTCCACCACTTGACAGGCTCCTTGCTTTCCCCCTCCACTGCTTTTTAAACCAGAGGTTGTGTTTCTTTATTTTACATTCAGTCTTTTAACTGCTCTAGCCCTAGAAGGGAGGAAACTTTCAGGAAAGGAAACTGAGGCATGGTAAGCTGGCCTCCAGGTGAGGACCATCACTTGGCTGCCTCACTCTGCGTGTGCAGCAGATTGGTGCTTTGTGACCGGACATGCTCCCCTCTGCAGCAGACACTGAAGGGTGGGGCAGGCCTCCTCCCTCCCTGGGTCTGGTCCTGCCTTTCTTAGTGAAACAGCTTTAATTGTTGGATTCCAGCTGGGTAAATGAGGCTCAGCAACTCCTGGACTGCTAGATAAATGAGGCATAAAAGCCCTTTGAGGGGTGGGGTGAGGAAAAAGTGAATTTGAAAGAGAAAGATGGAGAGGAGGAGCTGAACTGGCTCCAGACAGGCAGGTGTAGGCAAGGCCTGGCTGGGCCGGTTCCTCCCTCCCCATTTCGTTCGGCAAATGTTGATTAGTTTCTGAGACTGAGGGAGTGTTGGAGGGCCGAGCGCTCCAAGTCTCAAAGCTAGTAGGAGTGAAAAGCATAACTAGCAAGGCAAGGCTAAAGGGCAGAGAAGCTTTAGTTGGTAATTAGAGTGGGGTGAAAGGCGAGACAGGGTTACTTCTAGCGGCAGGAAGAAGGAAGTGCTCTGTGCAGCCTGCGGAACGCTGCATCGACAAGGCTGGCTTGCCCCCCCCAACCCCCACCCCCCCGCTCACCGGGCGGCCTGTGCTGTGCCTTGCACCTATGGATGCATGTGACTCTCATGGGTGCTCTCGGGGCTTTTGACAGGCGGGACACGAGAGTCCAGAGAGGCGCAGTGACGGGTCCCACCTCACCAGCCGGTGAGGGGCCGAGTCTGTGCTCGCACCCTGGTGCCCCTTAGGCCCGGTGGGCAGAGATGGGGCCCGGGCACCCCAGGGTGGGAGCAGTGGGACCAGGCGGTGCTTGGGCTGGGATTTATGCCTGGTCCCCACTGGCATCCAGACCAGCTTCCATCATGAGCTGCAGGGCTGGAGAGTTCGGTGGGGTGCGAGGGGGACTCTAAGCTGGCGCGGCTCCGTGATGGGAGCTTCAGTCCACAGCCTGTCATCACATGAGTGAGCTTCCTCTGAAAGGTGGTAGCAGTTGAGAGTCCCAACTTCTCCACTTCTTCATGGCACGAGCTGTGATAAGCTTTCATCTAGGATATTTAAAGCAGTAAAGTGGAGGATTTTTTTTTTTAACACTAAAGACTATAGTAGTGAGATGTGGAAAGTACTATAAATGTCAAGAATTTTTAGTGCTGTAGTTAAGCAACACTCTAAGGAGAGCGTTGAAAAATGGGATTGAATTCTAAATAGCAGCCAAAATAACGAAGGGCTTGAATATGATGATTTATAAGGAGTAATGAGATGGTTTGAGTAGAGGATAGAAGAAGGCATACATAATTCCTATAAATGTATGAAGGTTAGCGATATCCAGGGCTTGAATAGTCAGGGAAGTCAAACCTTTAAATTAATAAAACTGATTTGCTATGAAAATGCAAATCTCTTGACTTTGTTACAAAGTTTGGGCTCATAGACAGATGTCCGTGGAGCTGACACTGAACCCCGGAATCGTTCCTTGAATTTTGGAAGGCAGCATCTGGCACTGGTTCTCTCCAGCCTTGGAAAGTCTCTTCCATTCAGTTTCCCACAGGGGGTGGGATGTCTGAATAGGAGATTTGGGAGGATGTCCAGGGACCCCCAGAGGCTGGAGCAGGAGTTGCAGGGAGTGTGGAGTGACTGGTTACCCCAGCCTCCCTGTGGCGCTGCACAGCGTGCACCCCAACTCTGGAGGCTGAGGCGGTGGGCACGCCCCTCAGTAACTGAGTGACAGAGCTGCCTCCTCCATCGTGTCCTTCCCGTCCTGTCCTGGCCCGGCCCTGGAAGCATCTCGATAACCCTAGACTTTCACCACAGTTTCTGCACACACAGCCTTCCGCAGGCTTTCAGGTGCGACCTGCTCCCATGCCGGAGGCATCTGTGGCAGCTCTGTGTGCTCCGGCTGTGCCTGAGGCCATCACAGGGGCCTGAGCCCTGCCCGATGATGGCATCGCCAGCAGCACCTCACCCAAGAGGTGGGGTGTGAGGGGCCCTGGCGGGTCACGTGACGGTCTCCTTTCTGGTTCCAGATGCCATTCAGGAGGCGTCCAGGACTGGAAGCAGCAAGAACCTTTTGGACGGTCCCCCAAGAGTGCTCCAGCCCTTCCTGACAAACAGAGCCAAGGTGGTGGGGGCGCCCCCCAGCCTGCCCCTGCCCGTGCGCAACACCATGCTGGCCGCTGCCCTCTTCCCGGAGTTCCTGAAGGAGCTGGCCGCCCTGGCCCAGGAACACTCCATTCTGTGCTGCAAGATCCTGGGGGACCTGGAGGACTGCTGCTAGATGCTTGTTTTTGAATAGCGGGTCCTGTTTTTTAAGGGTTTAGTATCTTGACTGAATGTTAAATGCAAAGCTGCTTACAAAAATTTCTACTTTGATATTTCCTGAAAATACTTGATTTGTGGGGAGGGGCTTTTCTGCCTACCCCCTCTCTCTTCTCTGGCCGGGTCTTTCCACCTTAAGTTGTGTAGAATGTAAGTCTCGTAAGCTGGTTGCTCCTTTGCAGGTGTTCTTTGCTCAGTTTTCCTCCCTCCTGTTTTTGGGTTGTTCCTCCCCCATGTGAGTCACTCATCTCGCAGCCTAGCTCACGCCATGCGAGTACTGGGGTTCAGCGCTTACTGAAGTGCCCCCCGAGGCTGGCTCTTCAGTAGCACAGGAAGGACATGCATCTGCCCCTGCTGCCTTCTGCAGCTTGGGTCCCCTGGCACGGAGGGGAGCGTGAAGGCGAGTGGAGCCCAGCTGTGTGCTCCTTTGGATTCCCTCCCTGAGACTTGGTTCTGCGTGGCCTTAAGTGCAGGCAAGTCCACCGCTCCCAGCTGCCGCCTGTGAGTCACCTAGAGCCGCCAGAATCTGGAACGCAGGGAGAGTTTCTGGTTGCTTAAGAGCTTTCTTCAATCAGTGTATCACTACTGAAACACTACAAATGGCCTTATTTTAGTAAGACTTGCCCCCAAATGAAATAGACCTATGCAGTTTTTTTTTTTTTTAGTTTGAGCAGATCAATACAGCCTGGTATCATAGAACTTGTGTAAGAAGACAACCATCATTATTTTTTGAGATGCTCTTTGGGAAACAGATTAATTGGTGAAGCTGTTTCATAGTGGGTTTTCTATGGGGTAATATGGAGTGTGGGAGGAACAGGATAAAAGCAAACTAAATGCAACTTGTAAAAACACCGGCAGTTCCTTTCTATGTGTTTCCCTTGTCTGATATGTTACACTGTGTAGAGAAACCAGGAGGTGTCAGCCTGGGAGCCAGGAAGGTGCAGACGGCCACAGGGCGTGGACCCTGCACAGCCCAGCACCTGCTGGTGACGGTCTGCGCCGAAACCCCGCCTTCTGAGTAATGGGGTTCAGTAGAAGGCCTCATGTGATGTGTTAGCCCCTCTGCAGCTTTTCAGCCGGCTCCGAGAGGTACAGTCACACCGAGGGCTGTGTCCTCAGTTCAACACCCAGCCAGCTGTCCACTGGGTGGCCATCCCGCAGGGCCGGCGCATCGCAGGTTGGCTGTGCCTGAGTGCTGACTAGGGGGCTTCAGCTGTGTCCCCAGCACAGGTGGGGCGTGGAGGAAAGGATCTCACCTGAGACCCTGAGAGCAGAGGCTGACCCTTTGTGTCCCAGGCGTCTTGGAACACCCTCATGGAAACAGCCAGGGTGGAGTGGAGACCCCAGGAGACGCGGCCTGGGCGGTGTGACCCTCAGGGGCCAGCTTTACGGCGCCTCCGAGTTGTGCAGGAAGCCAAAGATGCCGTCTCCATTTCTGATTCCACAGTCACCAGTTCTTAAAAACTGGTTTGCTCAGCTGCCTTGCAGCAGGTAGCATGGGTGTGGCCCAACAGCCTGGCTTCTCCACCTGGGTCGGCGCCACCCATGAGTCTCTCTGAGCTAAGCAGACGGCTTCAGGTAAAGAGAACGAGAAAGGGGGCAGAGAGATGGAAGGTTGTAACTTACCTTCCAGCATTGTTTGCACAAGTATGTGTCTTCCAGTTCTGACTTAAACATGTATTTACGTAAACCATGCATGAATGTAAAATGCTGAAGTCACATCTGGAAAAGGTGTTATTCTCTAGCTTTTCGGTTTGATTTGCACTTCTCTCCATTGTCCGGTGATGGTGTTGAGTCTCCCTGAGTCCATGTTGCTTTATTACAGAGCATCAGAGCATCACAGTCCTCTGTGAAAGGTACCCAGGGAAAGAGGTTGATTTGGAGGAAAATTCTTGGTGCATTTTGCAATAGGTGCTGCGGTAGACTGACTTTAAAGAAGACCGAGATGACCAGTGTTTGGGGTGAGAGGCAGGGAAGTTTCACCCCGGGGTGGGGTGCTGGGAGCGAACTCACATGAGGGACAATCAATGGATCATCTCCCTAATGCCCTGTTAGGAAGTGGAAGTGGCTCATGTTTCTGAATCCATCACAGCTGCCTCCTTAGAGCCTCAAGTCCAGGGTTTTTCAGTATGAAATCAGAAAACTGACCTGGAAATACATTATAGAGAATCAGCAAACCCTGGTGGCTGAATGACATTGCAGGTGGACTGGGCGAAGAGGCTCAGGGCAGGGGGAAATACGCCAGCAAAGAGTGGCAGAGATCTGGGAGGAGAAGACGGACCCTGAGGGCTGGGGGCACTGGTCTGGGCGGACAGGAAGGGGCTGTACAGCAGGTGACTGCCACACACGGGGCTCCTTGGTGGGAAAACAGCTCCTGGTGACGAGGCAGAATATTCCAGCCATAAAGTAACAGGCGAGCCCCGTACAAACACCACTTGTGATGTGCTGGGGGACGATGCGGAGCTATCCGGCCCGCCTGCAAATACGCATGCAGAAGCTGCCAGGGGACAAGTCCATACTTGTGGGACAACGGTGGACCTAACCCTTTCTGGCTCTGTCCCCAGGGGGACACTGCTGTGTCTCCACCCTCAATGGCCAGGGCAGGAGGGCGCGTCAGGGCCTCCTGGAATGCCACAGCATCGACCTCGATTCCTAAGACTGAGTTTGCACTTCCGAGGGATATTTGATAGTGAGTTTTGGAGGTGGCCAAGTGAATGTCTTTAAGATGTTAAAGTATTGGTTGAATTTAGTCTAAAATACAACTTCATGGGGTAAATGAACAATTTCCCTGCTCTGACATGGGACGGTGGCGTGGAAAGTAGGCATGTGAACTCAGCAGTGGTGCGCTCTTCCCCGCATTCAGACAATCACGAGGCGCTCCCCACTTTCCTTAGGACTCTTCAGAAAATACTGTGATGCGCCGGGTAGGAACTGAGGTCTCCATCACGTGCAGGAAGGGAGCCCTCAGTTCAGGGGGCCTGCAGGCCCGACCCTTACACATGGCGCTTATTTAGGTCAGATGTGGTGCTCTGCAGCCCCAGAAACCATCACGAGGCCTGGTGGCGTCGGGGAAGCGTCCCCTTGGGACGTGATGGGAGAAGTTAATACTGCGGGTTGGCAGCTGCCCGATGTCCCCAGGCCAGCTTGACAGCGGATCGCCAGGCCCCCTGAGACAGAGGTCTGGGGTTGTGGAGGGGCTGCCGCTGAATCTGGGCAGTGTGCCCGGCTTGCTTTGGGGGTGTGCTGCCCCGAGGGTGGGGGTGCGGTGGTGTGAAGCTGCCGTGAGCAGCGTTGGCGCTGATTCTCACTCCAGGCCAGTTCAGGTTAATTGCTGACCACCAGCCCCACGGTCCTGCGGTGGCTGTCCTCTGGCCATTTCATGAAACCCTCTCTGGTAGGACGGCTGTTAGTGCACGTGCTTCGCCGAGTCGCTGACCGGGCTGCTGTAATTTGTGACTTGGCCTGAGTCGGGGCCAGCTTTGCCTTCTACTCTTCCTGGAAACAAGGTCTGCTGGTAGCTGAGGCCCCACCCGCCCGGAGTCATTAGGAAGATAGTCTGGGCCCCTTCTCGCCTCCACTGGCAGAGTGTAAATCACACAGCACTAATATCCTAACAAGTAACAGCTCAGAACCGAGCACCGTCAGGCCAGTTTAACTCCATTCTTGAGTCATGTCGCTGAGGAGTTGACTCCCCCCCCCCCCCCCTTCTGAGTGACCATCATAAGCCTCAAGCCTTAGAAAGCGCTCTTGAAAGACTTAAGAATTGTTTTTAGGATAATTTTGCCTCTGGATACCCTCTCCATTCAGGCAGTTACTAGGCCATTACTTCTTTGGGGCACAGATGATCCTGGCAGGGCTTGAGTGAAAAGAGTTGGGGGCAAGTTCTGTGGGGTAAAGGTCAGAGGCCAGGCTGGGGAGCCCTCTGTTCTTTGGCTCTTGCATCAAGCGGATGCTGCTTTTGCTAACTGACCCTTCCTGTCCCAAAGGGTCACTGTGAATTTTTTTTCCTTTCTTATGCGTAACGCTAACTTACTGTCACCCACAAGAGTAACAAGCCTGTCAGCATGAAGTCGACAGGAATTCCAGGCATCTTGTGGGGAGCTTCCCATTACATGTCATTTCAGAACCTGACCAGGCAGTGGGAAGCTCTTTGGCCTGATGGAGATTTCTTGGAGCTGCAACTGCAGGCATCTCTGCTTTTCAGCCCGCCTGTGGCTTTTCACTGGGCAAAGTGTACAAACAGCTTACCTTCCATAACAGGAGCGGTTTTTGCCCTGCAGGTATTTTAAAAGAAGCAACTTGGTGATGATTTTACTTACATGGTCACAAGGTAGGGTCAGCTTTGTTCACAAATAATCTGAAAGTGCATTTGTCTAAAATCTGCCGAAAAAAGCTGGCAGCCTTGCATGGTGCTTTTGGTAATACTTATTATGTAGAATCCTGGAAACGGAGCAGCTAAATTCAACTAAAATGAAAAATGTAAATTGTGGGTCATAGCCATGAACTATATAATTGAATCAGCTAACTCCAAGTTCTAGGAGTGTGTCCACATTCAAAATTGTGTAGCCTTCTTCCAGATTAGCAGTGAACACAAACAAGGGAGGGGCTTAGCTAAAACATCTGTAATTTGGTGGGAATAGTGGTCCAAGTTCTTTTTCCTGGGCCATGTACACCTTGAAAGGTAGGCACACGAGTTCCCCAAGAAGCCCCTTCCCAGACCCGGCCTCTGGAATCTGGCAACACCAGCCTCCATGCAAACAGGCCCCACAAAAGCCTGCCCTTAATTCTGCTTCACAAGCCTAACTGCTGCTGAACCGTCACGCCGTGCCAGGTAGCTCGCTGAGGGGTGTCTGGCTCTGTGTAGGAAGCAGCCAACACCCTCGGCGCCAGAGCTGTGTGGGGTCAGAGGACCAGGTGGGGCCAGCTTCCAGCCAGTGCCACCCCCACGCCCGGCCCAGGGCCTCACCTGTGGTGCCCACAGCTCTTTTGATGAGATTTCCCCCAAACAGCAAAGAACCAGGCTACCTTCACAAGCATGCAACAATATATTTAAACTTGTATTTCACCAAGCGGAGCCCTACTCTGTGAATTTCTTAGGGCGTCATATAAACATTTTCAAATATCTAGTCAGGTTCCAAGTAAAATACCTCAGCTGTGCTTTGATTTTTTTATTTTTCGGTCCTGATAGCAGTTTTAACAGCCTGTCTGATTTGTGGTTTCTGAGTGGCCTTCAAGACGCCTTCAAGAGTGGTGTAGCTGGACGCCAGTGTCGTAGAGCCCGAGGGTTCCAGCAGTGGCAGTTTTTTCGCAACATGCTCACTCCATGCTAGTTTACACTTGCTGTGACAGTCCTACTGTCTTTCTGGCTGTCCCTAACTCCCCCCCCCCCCCCTTACAGGTATACTCTTGATTTGAAATGCTCTAGTAAGATCTTTCCATGCTTTCTGTAAAGTTGAATAAGAAGCCAAACCTTTGGTGAAAGTGGGGTTGGTAAAACTCAACATTATTATTTTTTTAAGATTTATTTATTTGTGCATACAGAACTAGGGTACAGGCCAGAGGCTCAGGGGCGGCGAGAGGCTTCACCAGAGACAGAGCAGGGAGCAGAACAGGCAGACAGACGAAGTACACTGCTGAGGGGAGCAGCGGGCGGGTCAGGAGAGGTCTGCCACGCCATGTGGTCACCTCCGGGGCAGGCGGGAATTGAACTCATGAGGAAGCGGCTTTAGATTCTCAGGGCTGTGCTTTAACCCGCTGCGCCACCAGGGAGGGCCAACATTATTATTTCTTAAGAAATAATGGTCCCCCCAGAATCCAGTCTAAGACTGCCTTTGCCTGTTTGTAATTCAGACTTTGAGCGTGAGGAGAGAGGGTTTAATGGAAATCTGCTACTTTTAGGCCCTACAGTTTTTAGTATTGCAGCTGATTTCAGGGAACATGGTTTCATGGGTGATGCTACTCTCTTAGAATTCAGTCACTCACTTCACAAAGTTCATCTTTCTTTCCTCTCAGCCAGCTGGCTTCTCCTCTGATCCTTGTGCTTTGGCAGGGACAGGACACACTTCTGTCATTGTCTTAGGGACGTTCCCAGCAACTGGCTACAACCCGGGACGCAGCAGTTGCTGAGTGGGTGGGGGGGGGGGCATCTCCTCATGTCCCAGCTGCCAGGAAGCCCCATTCATGATGGAGCTGCCTTCGTCTTTGGAGGGTTCAGGGCAAAATCAGGGCCTCAAAGCTTTGGGTTCCTTGCTATGTCACCATTTGAGATGTGCTTCTTTTAAAAACAATCTTTGTGAAACCGGTCCTTGAGCACTGTGGGTCAGAGGTCACAGCGGCGATGAGCAGCAAGGGCACCCATGTGGCGGAGGAGCAGTATTACTGACATGAGACGGGCGAAGGCCACCAGCCGTCAGGGAGACCGTGGCCGGCACCGCAGTTACTGTTAAAGGTCAACACTTGGATCTACTAGTTTATAATCTCATTTTTCCAGGCAAAACAAATCAATTTAATGTTACAGCTTTTCTCTTTTTATCTTTTTTTGACCTGAGGATGGGGTGGGGGAGTTGTCAACTGCACAATCTTTGAAGTGTAAGTTAATTTTTTATGTGATATTCAGTATATATTTTATTCATTAAATTTATTTGAAAACTTTGTCTTTTTCCACACCACAAAAATTTTATCATCAGACTTAGCTTTCTTGGGATCCCGAGGCAGCTGAATGGACTCCTCCTCGCAGGGGGTGGTCAACACCAGCCCCTCCCACCCTCTCCAACAAGTGTGCTTCCCCGCGTCAGTTTGTCCTGCGCTTTCATCCGAAGGAACCTGCGTCGGGCCTGGCCACTGCGGTCTCAGTCCGGCTCAGACGCGGCACCTCAGGCGCAGACCCGGCGTCTAGAACAGAGCTGGCTGCTGGCGCGTGCTCACAACCGCTGTGGAGGAAGCCAGGGGCAGCGCTTGCTGAGGGGTGGGAGGGGGGTGCCCAGTGTTCTGCTCTGAGCTACTGAGCGCCCAAGGTGCCTCCTCAGGAACCATCCGGGTGGCAGTGGGCTCGGGCTGGGGCTCCGCTCCCGCCCTGCTGCGCTGTCCCGTTACGCCGTGGTGTCCCCTGACGACAGCAGCTTTTCCAGGGTCTCCTTGATCACCCGCGGGTCTGCTCGGTTGAGCGTGGCTTTTCGCACCAACCCAATCAATTTGTTTATAGCTCGGGGGTTTCCCTTCTTTACGTCCGTTACCTTTAAAGACGATTTAGAGGAGAAAACAAGAGGCTCAAACCTCAAGATCCTAAATGAAGATTTACATTGACTTAAATTTCTTTTCTTTTTCCATTAGAAATAAAGTGAGAAAAAGAAAAGGGGTAGGGTGCGCCTCGGAGGAGGTTGTGAGGCTCCTGTCAGGAGCTGTGTCTGCGCTGCCGCTTGATTAAAATGGACAAGGGGAGCTGGCGAGCGTCCGGCCTGAGTGCTGCAGCGAGGCTGGCCCCGTGGCACGGGACACGGCGTGGCACGGGACACGGCGCCGCGAATGAGGGGCCCCTCCCGCTCCCAGGAGTATCAGGCCTGCACTCAGTGAAGGGGTGCTCAGCAGGCCCTGAGCCCCGTGATTTCCGTCCCCACTCCCTGCCCAGGAGAAGCCTTCACTAGCAAGCGAGCCGGCAAAGCGGCCTCTCCAGCACACGGGCGGGCGTGGGGGCCGGCGCTGGGCGCCCTTCGCGCGTGCACTGTTGGGGCCACCGGCCCAGGCCCCTTTGCCGCGTCCTGGCGGGCAACAGCAGCTGTGAGAGTCAGGGCTCGGCAGCACGGAACACGTCGAAACTGAGCGTGTCTTTGTCACTCACACCGGTGAAGCCGCGGTGGGAGCCTGCGAGACCCCGCCAGCCGTTCTCCTTATCGGGACTCGTTACGGGCACTTAGTGTCCCGCAAGTGGAGGGTGGGTGGGTATTATTCTGAAAGTGATGCAGGCGATTTTTTTCCTTGCTGGAACATCTCTCTAGACAATATGATGAGACACGGGGACAGACTTATTTAGCTTTTCTATTTGTTCCATGTTTGGAACACAAAATGACTTGGTTTTCAGCTGTGCCCTTGTCAAGCATTTTCTCCATAATTTACAAATAATTCTCCTTCCTGCTTTTCCTCTCACTTCTTAAAAGACATGAAGCTAAAGTGTCTCCTTTCCCCTCTGTGCAGTCAGGCCTGGTGGCTTTCTGGGGAGAGGGCCCCGACAAAGTCGCGCGCCCCCCAGGTAGCCCTGGCCCTGGAGAGGCGCTGCCTGAGGTCGGAACCTCGCCGCGGGGGGCCTGGGGCTGGCACGGGGGTCTGGGGTGGGTCCTAGGGAAAGCTGATCTTTGCAACGTTCCTGTTTCCTTCCGTAACCTTACCTGAAAACTGGCCAAAAAGGCTGGGGAATTACTGATAAACTGGCCAGCCATTATTATCACTCTCAGGTGAGTGGGGGCAGTGGAGGCTCTGGGAGGTCTGGCTGGCCTGCAGGCTGCTCCTGACCGGCTGCCCTGAGTCTTGCCCTGGCTGTAGGGAAAGGGGGTGCTCAGGCTTTTTGCACCGCTAGCCTCTGTGGCTATCACCTGCGGCCTGGATTGTGCTAATGCAGAAGGCGCGTGGGCACACGTGCCTGATCGTGAACACCTGGAGTATGGCGCGGGCGTGCATAAGTGTGCACCTGAGCCCAGAGGCCAGGGCTGTAGGGCTGGCCCTGCTCAGAGACGGAGGACCGCTACGAGAGGCTGTGTGGTTACAGAGGGGAGCCCCCGAGAGGACACCAGAGAGCCCAGAGAAAGCGCAGTGGTGGCGGAGGGCGGGGAGGCTCAGCTGCCCGCCTGCCTCCAGCCCCGTCCAGCCTGTGCCTGCCTCCTTGCAAGCCAGCTTCCCTCCCTGCCTGGTTCCGAGAGCACAAAAGCCTGAAAAATCTGCCGAGGGCTCCTGGACTCTCGCTTTCCACCTGCCCGGACTGACAGTGACCCTGCCCCGGGGTGCGTGCACGACACAGGCCTGTGACATCACCGTTTGAGGATGGCTGTCCAGCGTGCTGCGGCAGAGTTGCTCCAGGGCCTCCTCATCCTGCATCAGCTCAAGCTGCTTTTCTGAAACAATCTGCGCCGGCGTCTTCCCTTCATTCTGCCACAATTCCTCAAACACCTACAGCCAGAGGGGAGAGGGACAGAAATCAGGATGGGCTCTTGAGCCAGCTCCACATGCTCCTGCAAGAGCAGCAAGTGAGTTCCCAGCTGGGAGGGCCTGCCCAGAGCACTGCCTCTCTGGGAGCATCCAGAATAAGCTGTTCTGGAGGGCTCCAGACGCACCCAGCCTCCCTGTGCTGAGCTACTCCCTCACAACACAAGCCTTGACTTGGAAGATGGAGGGGTCTCCCTGCCCCTCCGAACCCTTGAGGCCCAGAGGCATTGGGGAGGCCCCTGCCGACAGGAGTCATGGCTAAGTAGGCCTTGTCTGGAGAGCTCATGAACTGAGGTGACATTCTGGTGAAACACAGGGCCACACACCCTGCAGGAGTAGCCACTGCTCTAAGCTGAGGTCCAGAAACGGGTCCTGTAGGGGAACATGGCTTCAGGGAGGCAAGAAAATGACTGTGGTGAAAATACCAAAAGGAAAACAACCAAAAATGCAAATCCCTGTGCTCAGGAGCCCTGGCCGACCTGTATCCCCTACAGCTGGGGAGGAAGCCAGGTCTGGACCCAGCTAGGATAATTAAGTTAATAGTGTGTGTATGTTTCTACTCAAAAGATGAAGACAGTGCTCCAAACTTACCAAACTTGGGGAAAAAAATTTTCAAAGCCGTGTTTCCTGGGGGGCGGGGTGGTTCTCCCTGTTCCCCGTCATTCCAGCGCGCACTAGGAGGGGCTTCTGTCTGTCAGCCCCTCCTCGGCTCGCTCTGCCTGGGCCTGAGCCCTGAACTCTTGGAGATGGCCGCCCCGCCCACACGGCCGCCAGGTGCCCTTCCTCTGGGAGGAACAGCTGGACCACGCCAAGCACACGGCAAAGCCATGAAGAGGCGGATGCCGGCAGCCTTGCCCGTCTGGATCCACACTGCAGGTGTCGTCCCCAGAGGCCTTGAGCCTCCTCCAGTCGGCGGTGGCCGCAGGCCATGGCTTGGTGGCCGCAGGATTTGGCAGGAGCTTGCGTTGGGGCCTCCTGGGAGCCCTCAGGCTGCCAATGCACGGCCCTGGCTGCTTGGGGAAGCCTGTCCCTCTGCTCTTAGAAACAGAGGCGCCCACATGCCTCCGCCTCAGCCCCTCAAACAGTTATTCCGCGGGACAGTGAGTAAGGCCTCGGAGAGGGGCAGAGGCAGGTGAGAACTCCCTGCCCGCCACACACTTCCACGGGGTGTCTGCCGCGCAGAAACCGTAGGGCAGAACACCCAGTCGTGCATGTGGTGCTTGGGGGCCGCCAGAGCGAGGCTGACGTTTCTCTGCCCCTTTCTCTGAATTTCCGCTGAAAATGTTACAAAACTTTGTAAGGCAAAAGGTTAATACTGGACGTTCACTGCACAAAACAAAGATCTGTAACAGGGTAAGCAGCAGCCACCTGGACTCCCTTCTCTCAAGACAGCCAAGGTGAGTAACTTGCTGTTGTTCCTTCCGTTTTCTAACATTTGCGATCATGACATATATTTGTTCCTGCTTTTGTTCCACTTACTGCAAAAGTGCCTTCTTACAGGAATTAAATAACCCTAAGAGCCATTAAAATATACTTATCGGAATTTAGTTTGATCCCCTCGCTGTGGGCATTCTGACTCTGACCAGCGTTTGCTCATCTGTATAGTCTCCTGTGGAAGGTCCTAGCTGCACATGTCTAACTTTCAGGACCAGAGTGGAGCGCTCGAGAAATCAGCTCTCTGGTTCAAAACAGAAAGGACTAGCTCATAAAGAATCCACATAGTGACTCCACAGGAACCACGGGGCTCACGGCCAGGGCTCGGCTGCAGCACAGGGCACACCTGGGTGGCCTGTCCCTGGCACTCGGCAGCTGGGACCCGCAGGCACAAAGGAGGTTTGCTTCCTCCAGTGACCCGGACACTGGCATGTCAGAGGGCCAGGGATTCCAGCCAAACCGCAATGCTCAAGAGACTCAACACAAAGCTAGGAGGGATGCTCTGAAATGCGGGGAGGGGCGGCTGGATGCTCCCTGAGAAAGTGGGCAGAGAGTTAGGGGTGCATAGTGTGAATTTCTGAAGCCAGCAGCTGTAGTGTTCTCTGTTCTCGAATTAGAACCCAGTTAGCCGTGGCCGGGTAGTTCTCCCGGGCAGCACTGCAGACTCCAGTTTTCCAACCTTCTGTCCCCTCCTGTTGAGGACACCCTGTGCCTCCTAGCTCCGTCCCTGCAGGACGGAGTTGCTGAGGGGGGAGCCGGCTCCAGGTGGGCTCCGGGGGCTCCCCGGCCCTCAATGCAAACATCACGGCCTCTGTGCCTGCAGTTTCCTTGCAGCACAAATACTCAGCTTTTGTCTGTGTTTAACTGTGCAACTGTTTCCGGCTGGCAGGGTGGCGCTCCTGGGCTCTGCTGTACCCTCACCCCCCACGCACAACAGGGGACTCTCGTGCAAGGTTGGTCCTCCATGTTCGTAAGTGGCCACTCGAATTGTATGGTCACGCAAGCTGGAGGCCCTCAACCACACACTGGCCTCTAGCTACCGCTAACACATGGCGCCCGGCACAGACCCTTCAGCTGCCACCCAACTATTTCTCTAGCTAAAACCATTTTTAAAGTATCTGGAAGGAAGAGGGCAGGGAGGGAGAAGAGAGGCGGTTCCCTCCCCGGTCACTGCCTGTCCTGGCTGTTCAAGGTCAGCGTGTGGAGGAAAGACCAGTTCACAGGAGATGGCAGGCGGGAGCTGTGATGGTTACAGAGTGGGGAGGCTCCTCTGGTCAAAGGCAAATACTGTGAAAGGTGGTTCTAGAAAGCACAGACATCGACACCCAGCCCTCAGGGAAGCAGGGCACAGCAAAACGTGCAAAGAACAACAGCAGTGCAGTGGGTAAAAGGATCAAGTATCATTCGTGACACAGTTTCACGGCGACATACAACATTTTCCACATTAAGTGATTTCGGTCTAAAGCAGACTCCAGAGTAGGCCAGAGGAAATTGGCTGGGTGGCGCGCTGCGTGGGAAATGTGATTGCCCAGTCTGGCCCTGGGCAATGAGAACAGCCCAACCGGAAGAGCGGCTCTCCCGTTCTGCACCATCCCCTCAGTCACAGGGGTCCGGGCTGTCAGCTGCAGGGGCGCCGTGACTGACCCTGGGAGTCTGGTGGCCCTGGGGAGGGGCAGGTTCTCGCTGCTACTTGGGCCAACAGAACTGGGCCTGGTGAGAGGAGCGCGATGTCCTGTCTTCTGCTGTCTAAGTGACCCAGAATCTGTGGATTCTTCCTGTGTTTCTGAAAAAGAGCTGCTTCATGGCAGCTTTGAATTCCCCTGGGCCCTGGGGTGGTGAAGGGGGGAGGCTGTCCACCTCAGAAGCTGCGGGACACCTGGGGGAAGGCGCAGGGAGATGGGTGACTGGTGGGCTGTGGAGAGACGGCTCAAGGGCGAACGGGAGTAGAGAGACATTCTTTGGAATTCTGAATGTCCTCGGACGGGATAATTCTTCCCTCTTGCTTGTCTTCCTGAGGGTCAGTTACTGGCTGACTTTCCTGCCCACCCTCCGGTCATCCATCTCTACGGTTCTGCCAGAGGTGTCGGTGTCCCTTCAGCCCTGGAGTCTCTTTTCTGTCTGCGACCCTCTGGCTTTCCATCGGGGAGACTAAAACCCAAGGGCTAATCGGGTGCTTCTATTAAATTCAGTAGACATGAATCCTAATGCATTTTTCCTTAAAAAAAAAAACAACACTATAAAAATTAAGACGCAGATGCTCAATGTAATTAGTCATTAGGAAAATGCAAATAAAATCCACAGCGAGATAGCACTTTATACCTACTAGGATGCTGACAGTAAAAAACACGAACAAGACAAGTGCTGGAGGGTGTGGAGGCCGCGGAACCTCAGGGATTGTAAAATGGTGCTGTCTGGCAGTTCCTCGAAATGTTAAATTAAAATTACCGTAGGATCCAGGAACTCCATTTTTATATCCAGGAAATGTGAAAAAACACATAAAAGCCTGGACACAAATGTTCAAAGCAGCATGATTCATAATAGCCCACGTTGGAAACACCTCACATGTTCCTTTGCCGATGAGTGCACAGACGAAAGGTGGTGTGTGCCCACACGATGGAATGTTCTCCAGCCATAAAGGGAATGAAATGCCAGCACAGCTCCCATCAGGGATGGACTTCGAAAACCTTCCGCCGAGTGAGGGACGGCAGACGCAAAGGCCCCCGGCGGTCTGAGGCCTGGGATGGGAAGAGTCCGGAGCGGGCACATCCAGAGAGTGGAATGGTGGCTGCTGGGGCACAGAGCTAATGGGGGGTGCCTGCTAAGGGGTGGGGAGTTTGTTTTTGGGGTGCTGAAAGTGTTCTGGAGTAAGACAGTGGTGATGCTGAAAACACTGTAAACACATGAAGAACCAGGGAGCCGTACACTTGGCAAAAACAAAAGCCCACTCTAGACAAGTATTTGTCTTCTCACCTGCCCACCCCCAGGCCCTCGTGCTGGGGGCGGGCAGCTGTGGCTGCCTGGAATGCTCATCCAACAGTAACGGTGGTTTATTAAGGTGGTGGAATTCAGAAATCCTTCTGTTTTTCTGCATTACTAAATTATTTATAATGAACAAATGTAATTTTTTTTAAACCAGAAAGCCAGTAAGTGATTTTCTTAGAGAAGCAGAGAGGCAAGAGCCCCGAGGCGGAGGTGAGCACAGGCCCCCTGCGCAGCACGGGCCTTGGTCTCCTTTCGAACCAGACTGTTATTTTAGCGGCGGCCCGCGACAGGATTCGCCTGGCAGGTGACAGAATCCAAAAGTGTCTTTATCTGATCTGAACCAGCTGCCAGCACCTCCCAGCGGTCTCCATCTCTGCCTTCCACTGAAGCCATCAGAGCACTGCACTAGGATTTTTTTCCCCTCTTTCTGGTGGGGTAGGATGAGTGGGAGGAGGGAAGATTTTTTCCCTTTCATTTCAACTGCTACAGTTCATCTGCTCTTACCTACACATATATAGTTTTTCCTGCCCTCAGGCCAGCCAATCTTCCTGCTATTGCTGAGCATTGTCATAAACATTTGTATTCCTCTGACATGCAGGCAGCGGTCCCTGTAGGTGACAGCCGCACTTGGTGGTGGGTAAACAGAGCCCTTATTACTCGTCTCCAGTCTCACTGCACCGAGCGGCGCTTGCTCCAGGTTGTCTCATAATTAGCCACCAGCACTCACTTCTCCAAAGCCTCACTTTGTAACCTGCCACTGCTGTCGATGTGTATAAATATTAAATGCAAAAGGCACCATTAAAATAACATTAGAGTTTCTGGCTGAAGCCTTGACAGCTGCAGTAGCTGAATCAGATCAGGTGGGTCCTTGGGGGTCTTCCTCTTTCTGGGAGCTGGTTCGGAAGAGTTTACTCAACCCCAGGGATCTCTCAGCCCCCTAAGACTGTCAGGTGGGGGCAGAGGCTTCTTCTCTGAGTTTCACCCACTGGGCATGTGTGTAGTGCCGTCTGCTGAGCCGCTTCACTCGCCTTGCCAGCTCCACAGGACAAACAGGCGCTGGGCGGTGGCTGGGGCTGTGGAGGTGGCGCCGGAGGGTAGGGGGCACAAGGGGACCTAAGCACTCTGAGGTGGGTAGCAGTGCCCCTGTCTTTTACATAAACAAATGTTCGGGAAACATTTCGGCAAAGCCAAACAGAAAGCACCCCCCTGGCTAGCCGAGAAAGAAGCTGCTACCTGCACTGCACTTGGGCTTCGTTTCACTTGCTGAAGACATGCTTCTACCTCTCAGTATAGGCGCGGCATTTACAAGCGTGCAATACGTCAGTGTGGCGTCCACTGAGGGACAGCGCTGAGTGTCACACAGGCTGCGGGCTGAGAGCAGAGCAGAAGCTTCAGGAAGCACGGACATACCTGTCTGGCGGCCGCCGAAGAGATGGTTTTCCCGTCCAGCAGGTCCAGCAGCTCAGCCAATGTGGAAGGCACGATGGGACTAGCGGCCCCAGAAGGAGAGAAAAGAAATTCACGTTTCACACTGTCATCAGATCCTTGACGGCCACCAGAACACTTGAGTTCGTGGGTTTACATGCTTGCACCCACACCCAGGGATGATGATAATTGGCCAACGGGCTCAATTTATTTATTTTGCTTTCAGGTTCTCATGTTTTTGTGACTGCTGTCGTTTTTTTTTTTTATTTTACTGTCCAACAAGAACAGGTGTTTGGCAGAAGTTGTAGCAACACACAACTGCTCAGTTTAATTAGTCAAAAAAAAAGGAGGTGGCTGCAAAATTCATGAGCCATGATGGGAAAGAAGGGGGAAAAACCAACCTAGTAATTAATACTTTCCAGGGAAAGATCAGCCTGAAATCACTCCAAGCGAAATTGCTAACAAAGCCACTTTCCTGCGTGCTTCTGTGCAAATTCAAATTCTTTCAACTGTACGAGTTTGCCTTAATGACGACCAGCCACGTCTCCACCGTGCTCCTGGGCATCTCCGCACTCTTCACCTCTGCAGGCTCTGTTACATCTAAACTTCTAGGATGGGACTTACTTGCCAAGATCCATGATATGAAAGGCCAAGGTGCAGCGAGACACACAAAGGGTCATTAACTTATGCTCAGGGGCGAGCACCTAGTCTCCTGGAAAGTCAAGGCTGAATTACAGATCTCTTTCGAAGTAGGTGGTTTTGCTGCTCTTAAAGACATACAGCAACTAGGCTAATGAAAAGCTGTCTGTCGGAGGTCACTAGGGGACTAGTTTTAAATAGATAGGAATGACTTAAAAATAGCACGTTCGTGTGTCTGTTTAAATGAAATGTTCAATGCCACTGGAAAACACCTTCTGTTTAAATCTCAATGCCGATCATTTCACTATTAATTTCCTTGCAAACTCTTAGATAATAAAAAGGAAACTACCGTTTAGTCTCTATGCCAATTCCCATGGATTCCAAACCAACAGAGTGTAAGTTTACCAGGTCTGAGTTACTGCTGATTCAAGTACAGTGAAACCGCATTAGGGCTGCTAATTCAAAGCCGCTGACACGCAGAGGCAGCCCGTGGTCCAACGTGTTTGTTTATCCCAAGCTATGGAGACCGGCACTTCTGAGTGGAAATTAAGTGTGGAGAGTGTCTGTGCTGTTACCAAGGTCCTGTCCGGAGTACCTGGGCACCTCCCTGCCTGCACTGCATTGGGAAGGGTGCAGAGGGCTGGGAAATAAAGGGACAACCATTTCCCAACTTCCCATCCACACCGACAAATCAAAAGGAAGTGGATTTTTTAAAACTGCAGGTCTCGGAGGTGCTCTGCCATTGTAGAAAGTACAACCAGAGAGTGGACTGTGTGTAAGACCCGTTATAAGCACTGAAATAGAACTAGATTTCTAGAGCAAAAGAGCCCTGCTCCCTTGCAGGGGGTGACACAGGAGAATAGGAAGAATCACAACTGAACAGCCTTTGCCTTTTACCTACCGACACTGATTTGTTAGTGAGGCAGAAATTTACTCTACCAACGATCTCCACTGACTTACTAGCACGCGGGGTTTCTCAGGCCTGCTGGTCGCCACAGAGCTTGACACACAGAGGGCCAGTAACTGCATCACACAATTCCTCCCATCAACAGGAGGGCTATCTGGTCTAGAGTCTACACCGCTTCCTGATATGAGATGGGGTCAGTGCCTGTCACAGTGACCCCAGAAGGCCCCACTCACCAGTTAAATAAGCCACTGGATCTGGAGTAGAATGGCAGCAGACGCACAAGCCACTCTTTTTTTGCTGCCAGATAATATTGGCTTATGGACAGTGACTGTGTCTCTACTAAAGGGGACTCTGACACCCAAGATGGAAGTTTTTGGTGTCTCTAAGCTTAGAGGAGGGGTGGGTCACTGAGTCTCCCAACTTCATTTGGGCTCTTGTCATTCTCAAGATTACAGCCCCAGCTCTGGCTTGGATTCCAGAAACAGACGCCTTGACATCTGCAACCAAGCCTCTGCCCCCTTCTGTGAAAGGTGCGGCCCACCTCAACCACAAGGTCATCAGGGCCCAAAGTCCACTGTCACAGCTTTGTTCACCCAGGACCCCAGAAGTTGCTGGAGGAAGACACAAGGACTTGGAGCTCCAGTGGCTCTTGCCACTCAATAAACATTTTCTTCATCTCAATAATTTCCTAGCACCCCTACCCACCCCTCGACCACTCATGCCCCTTCTCAGCTCACACCTGCGCCTCCTGCTTCATCAGGACATCCACTGGTGCAAGATTCAGAACGGTCTGCGGTGCCTCCTCTTCTGTGCAATGACCCCCTGACCCTCACTCTTAATCCCATCACTTTCCACATCTGGGGTCCTACTCAGAGCTACTTCCCCTCTCCTGAGGCTTTAACATCACACCTTCACAAACACTCAGATCTCCTGCAGCCTGAAAAGCTTCAACCGATCTTGCAGCCACTTGCTTCTGCCTGGATTCTTAGTTTTACCAATAAAGATGGTTTTCCTCAAGAGGAGACATCTGCTCCAACTGCTGTCCAGAATGGGACATGGTGTCTCCTGCCCTTGCCCTCTAAACTTCTTCCTCCTTTACGCCCAGGAGAGGGAAAAACACTCTATCATCTGCACAAGAGATCTGGAAGTTGCGCTGAAGTGAGAGAAATGCTCTCAACTTGGTCTGCCTCACTTCAGCCCTGATGTGCCCACCTCAGCTCCGGCCTGGGCCATTTCTCCCTGATGCTCCTGCAAGAGGTTCCCTACTGTGCTTCCTGCTTTGTTCTGTTCTCCATCCCATCCCCCAAAGTGCAAGTGCACTGTGCTTGTGACCTGTGACTTGGGATGTTCGGCGCTACTGACGGGACACACAAGCCTCCAGGTGGCCTGACCGTCGCGGCAGCTGTCTGTCACTCTGCTCATCCTGCCTCCTGCCCGGAAACCTGGCACTTGGGGTTCTTTGGGTGTCTGGTAGCTGCTTGCCTCGGGGTATTTCAGGAAGGCTGCCTCGCTGGGAATGCCCATGCTCCCCACCACTTCACAGCTCCCACTAGTTCTCGGGGCTTGGCCTGCTGGATCGTCTCTGGCAAGATCATCGATAGTGCCTCACCTCAGGTTCCCCGTGACACATCCCACACCCCCGTCATGTTAGCAGAACTGGGTCCCACAGAGGTGACAGGAGGCTGCATACAGGCCTGGAACCCCGCAAACCTGTGAACTCCTTGTCTTACTCATCTTCAGGCCCCAGTCTCAGGCACAGTACAAAGGATGGAGCGTGAACAGGTTTAACAAATGGATTTTAGACATGATAGAGGACAGCCTTAGGATCAGGAATTCACAAGGGAAGCCTGAGGGGGCTCTGAGGGAGCAGAAAACGAGCCCTGTCCTGTTGCATCCACTCTGGGCAAAACGCTCATCATGAAGGAGGAACGACATGTCGTCCAGCCCTCACTCACCTCTCACTAACAGCGAGGTTCCGTTGCTTTAAAGAGCCCAGGAAAGTGTTGAGGACCCAACTGGTCACTGTTTTGGGCTCTGCCTTAGTTTCTTTTACCACATTTTGGAAGAACTCCAGTAGGCCAACTTCATTCTGTAAAGAGAAGAAATGGTGTAAATTCTGGAAGACTTTGAAGAAGACAACTGATGCCCCGCCTCTGGAGGGTCTGGGGAGCAAGGGACCACGTTGTCCTTTTACCACCAGAGCTAAGTCATGGGCACCACTGGCGGCTCTCAGTGGGGGGACTCCATGGTTCCCCACACCTGTCTCTTAACAATCCCATGAGCTCCCATTCCCATCATACCACATTCCCCTTCAAGGATGAGAACCGCCGGCCCACTCCTGTCAGAGTGACCCCTGGGCAACCGTGGCATCACACACTCCAGCTACCTGCCGGATCAGATCCATGTGGCAGAACCAAGAACTTTGGCAAGTCTACCCTTTTTTTTTGGTTAAAAAATAAAGGAAAATCATGTTCTGCTCACCTAGGGCCCTGAACTTACCAAGTGCAGGGAGAAAACATTTTTTTTTAAAGATTTATTTATGCATACAGACCTGGGGTACAGGCCAGAGGTGCAGGGGTGGTGAGACAGAGCGGGGAGCAGAACAGGCAGACTGATGAAGCACATTGCTGAGGGGAGCAGCAGGAAGGCCAGGAGAGGTCTGCTGCTCCATGTGGGTCACCTCTGGGGCTGAGGATAGAACTCACACTGAAGCGGCTACAGCAAGCTTGCAGTGCTGCGTCCTAACCCACTGCACCACCAGGGAGGGCCGAGAAAACATTTTAAGTAGTAGATTTCCTCTATCTTCCTCCAGTTTCCTTCCAGTAAACCCGGCCCGCATCATGAGATGTTCAAATCAAACCACTTTCATTGAAATCTTCCTTTGTAAGTTTTTGCGGGTAAGACTCTCACCCTTGCTTCCTTTCAGAAAGCACTCACTGGTCTAAAAGAACTTTCTGGAAAAAATAAGATATTGGGAAGAAATGAGACATACTAACAAAAAGGCTCTGCAAGTTTAGCTTTACTCTATACACACAGGCGCAGTGGTGCTAACATAGAAATTCCATAATAAAAAAATCTACATGCCCTTTGTAACAGATAAATTCTCTGGTGACAAGCCTACTGAATAATCCCACAATCAGCTCCCGAATCTCTTTTCAAGTCCCTGCTATTATTCCGCTCATGACAAACAGGGCAAAGGCCACCGTGGCAGCCAAAGCTTGACTACAGATAAAGACACATCCAGACGCAGGCAGGGGAAGTTCTGCCTGACTTACGGGAAAGTGTTCAAACTTCGGCGAAAACACGGACCTCTGGGGAAGCAGACGCCGCTATCTGGCCCAAATCAGACGGGCAGAATTCCCTTTGTTCGAAACCAGGCAGGCTGCTGGCTGTGAAAAGAGCTGTCAGAACTCTCTGCCTTGCCAAGGAAAAGGTTTTTCTCACTCCACCTAGAAATACTGCACTTGAACTCGCAGGCTTGGCTGAGTGGCCGGGACGTGATGAATATCCACTCCTCTACCCTTGGGTGGTTTTTCACTGGATGGATAACACGGCCAGTCAGATTTCTGTTTGTCTTTTCGTGTCGGCGCTGTGATGGGGCCTCTTGGGCCTGGACTATACTTCACGGGGGAGCCGGGCTTCAGTGCATAATGGGAAGCAGACGTGATGACCTGCGGTGGTGAGACGGGAGTGGCTGTGGGAGGCTGACGGCGATGGATCAGTGAAAAGTCGCTCAGGGACGGTGTGCTCTAGCTCTACAGGTTGGGAGCCTGCTTTCCGGGGAAACCCACCCAGCATTCAGCGAAGGTCGTCTTAGTTTTTCTGCAACACTGGCACGGGCTCGTCTGCCCAGCGTAAGGCGCCCAAATCCCTGGGGAACCGGCAGTGCAGCCATCTGAGCTCCGAGGGGAGTGGTGCGCCAGTGATTCTCCTAAATAAATAATGCTAAGGGCCACGCAGAAGGTCACTGCATGAAGGGACCCTTCATGGCCTTGTCAAAGGCAACAAGCAAGTGCTGGGCTCAGCGCCATGTCCCGGGCATCCCGCTGTGGCTCTGAGCGTGCCTTCAGCGGCGGCTACAGCAGTGGGGACAGAGGGGCCTGTCCTTTGTGTGACGGTGTCTTTATAGCTCTGTGGCTAGGAAACAGTATCTTCACATTCTAATCAAATTTCCTAAAACATTCAAATGCAACCTCGGCCAATGCCAGGTCACGTTTCGGCGCGGGCTAGAAACTCCATTGCTAATGGATTTGTCACCTGGTTGATGCAGGTGAGAGACGAATCAGAGGGGTCACCTTGCCCCCACTGCCTGCTCTGGGAAGGAACCCCGATGCCTGCGGTCTACTGCTTTCTACCTTCAGAGCAGGTGAAGGGTCAGGACACTATTCAGTTGGAAGAGGATGAAAACTGATTTCAAGTGCCGTTCTTTTTCTAAGCCACGCAGCCTGGGAACCCGATGCGGGGGCAGAAATGCGGCAGGACTATCTTTAGCAGTGGAATGAAAGCCGAGAGACAGCTGCCTGGTGGCAGACTCGGAACAGGCCCACAAAGCACAAGCCGAGGAGCCCTGCGTGCCCGGGGCATGTGCTGGCGGCCGCAGGGACCCCGCTCAGCAGCCTGGGGCTGGTAAAGGCTCTCGAGAGTATTAGGGAGCCTACTGGACCAGAGGTCAGCCCTGGGGGAGCCACTTGTGCCTCGGCTGCTGCGAACAGTAACAGTGATGTGACAGGTTTTCAGCAACAGTGCAAAGTACGAGGCATTGGGCTGAGGACTTTGTCTCCGTCGAGCAGACCTTTCTTCTCCAGAAGACACGGATGCACAAGCTTGCTTGAGGTCACACGGCAAGAGAGCAGCAGGGCGGGACTTGAACCTCTGCAGTCTGCTTTTCACCACAGGATGCTTCCCCGGGCGAAGGAAATCTCCGTACCTGCCTTCCCAGGGACCGGAGCTGTGCAGCAACTGGAGCTGCACAGGAGAAGCCACTAGCTCATCGGAGGAACGCGCATCCCCACCATTGCCATTATTTTATTTGATAGCTGCCAGCTGTTCAAAGTTCTGAACATATTAAAAAATGTTGCAAAGGCCCTCAGCAATTAGCTTGGAAATTAGGAGAAAAAGGCACGTTCACTTTCCGCTTCCGCCAAGCTATGCCTAGAGCACGTGGTGCCTTCGCTGCGGCTGGTCACCCACCTGCTCGCAGATCAGAGGACAGTGGCTCCCAGGGGAGGGGAGGGCAGCTGGCGCTGCTCTTCGGCATCATCTGCCCTCTCCTCAGAGAAGTTCCATTAAGCATGTGCAAACCAAGACACCGCTCAGGGCTGAAGCACCTTCTGACATGACATTACAGATAAATCCCAAGTCACTCATACAGTTTTGATATTGAGCATTCAAGGTGGCAATGCATTTTCGCTTCTCTAATAGGGCTAACTCCCGTGGGGGTTTAAACCCAACTAGGCAGGACAAGCATGTGGTCGGAGTGGCTGACTGGACAGAAGGTCCTGTGAAAGGCCAGTGGCTGCTTCAGTGGAGGATTGTGGGGCAAAGGCACCCAGTTATGAGACACTTATGGAACCTCAAATGGGGCCGGTAACCATTAGCCACAGGGACTAGGCCCAGAGCCACTAAGCATCTCTGCAGACCTAGGACGAAGCCGCATCTGCTTGTCGATGGTAGCTGTTGTTCACTCACCATCCCTGAGAATCTGGTCCTTCTCATTAAGTAAGACAGAATAAGAAACAAGAATGCAGTGAAAAATGACCATGGAAATAACAGGAAGTGCTAGTGTTGGATGGAGGTAAAAATTCAGCCAGGAGGCCCCAGAGGTCAGCGATGGCTTGGACACACACACACACACACACGTAACTCATCCAGACAAGTCTTCCGGGGGAAGGCACAACCTGAAACAACGCCCAGGACACGAGCACCTGCAGAATCTCAGAAACACGAGTGGACGCTCCCAGCCGGTCTCAAGGGATACACGTGCCAGAGGTCTGAGTCCTAATTTGGGCCCCACAGTTTCCACATCTGGGTCATGTTCCCAGCAGGATTTGGGAGCCACTAAAATCTGAACAAAATTCCCGTTACACCTATATGCTGCTACCTCGGTGCGGCCTCATTTCAAGCAGAGCCGGGAAGTGCACATATCTGGGTTCAACTCAGGGTACCGGTTCAATTCAGGGACTGTTCTCACCTACAGGGGGTTAGACTAACATGAAATGAGCCGATATTCTCCGAGATACATTAACTCTAGGAAAGATGTTGAGGGAAACCAATTTGGGAATAAGACTCCCTTGGATAATCAAAATTCAAACAATTCAGGTAATAAAAGTTGACAGTAGACAGGCATAATTAGAAGATTCCATCTGCAAGAATGGGAGGCTAAAAGCATGTTGTCCAGAAATTCTGATCACAGGCCCACTTCAGTGTGTCTACAGTCTCTTGTCCAGTGGGCTCAACATGGAGGGAACTGATTTCCTCACGGCAGGCTCTGGCTGGAGCTCACAGCCGCAGAAAGGCACTGTTGTTCATCTGCTCCAAGGTCAGACTGAAAGCTAATGCGTTTTAACTGTGCCGTAAAGGAATCATTCCAAAAACAGGAGATCGAGCTGGAGGGGGCGACAGGGACAGAACCCAAGGGCTGGACACTCAGGATGTGGCCCCTTCTGCGCTGCTGCCCAGGTGGGACCCTGCGGGGTGAGCCCAGAGGTGCCTCACCTCTAAAAGCCCCTTATTGCTTGCACCTGAAATAAATCAACTATTGGTTTTGCAGGGAGAGAGTCAGAAGCTGTATCTCTTGATCTAACTTTACCAGAACAAAATATCAGTTCTTCTTCCAGTGTGTAGACTAACTGAAAGCACCTTTAAGCTGGCAAGCACTGGGTGCAATTTTATACAATGAAGAATAAAATCAATTTCGAAAATTGCATGGAGGTGAAATCTGGTGGTGATGATGCTGGCCAAATGGCTTTCCCTCTAGCATAGTTCAGAGGTGAGCGCTCTGTGTCTCAGTAGGCCCGGGCAGTCTAAACCACTCTGTGGCTTCAGTGCTGTCTCCAACGACTAGCTGTAAAGCAGTGCTGCCCGTGGGATACACAGGTATTTATCATGGGAAATTACTTTATCGGCCACTCGTCCAGAAAAGAACCCATTTTCAGCTAAGTAGAGACTCAACACAAAACTCTTGGAAAATAATTCATTTGCCCACCCACCACGGTATCTCTTCTGCTTCTTTGTTCCTTGGGGACACCCTATTTCCATGACATCAGAAACAAAGTGTTACCACCTTAGGTGGGGGATAACCAGGCAGGGAACACGAAGCTGTTGAAGTAAGACTGCACATCTGGAAGCTTAACACGAAGCAAAACAGACACGCGTTGAGCCCAGCCATGACTGGGGGTCGCCATCACAGTTCCTGACCTCTCACTGGGGCCAAGTGAGGCTGTGGTTGAAATTCTCCCTCATGTGCCCCTGAGGTACGAGCAGCTGTTGGTGCCAGTGCTCCTTCCTTGGCTGAATATTCTTGGGACTCTGCTTGGCTGTATTTAGACTTTTTTTTTTAGATTCAGCAAAGCTTCTGCTGTGTCTGTCATCTCTGGAGTAAGGGAATCATCCCCGTTCTCCTTCAGCGGGAGGGTAAGAGCTCCTGCTACCAGAGAGCCATCCTAGCTCCTCAGGGCCAAGGTGAGACCTGACTCGGGACTGTCTGTCTCTCAGTGTTTTAACCGCTGCCCGTCCGGGCCACTCAGGAGAGTGAGCGCAACTTGAAAACAGCACAGGCCCTGCGGCCGGCTCCACGGCCATTCAGAAGCACTGACCTGGGGCGCCAGGCCACTCCTGCACGGCTCTCACAGGCTGAATCTCCATCTCCTGACTTTGCGCCACGGCTGCCCAGTGAACCCATCGCTGTTCTTTCCTGAGTGCCGCGTGTGCCAGGCTGCATGACCCCGGGCACTGCACACTCGCCTTGTGCGGAGACCCTCCCCAAAAGGTTCAGTCAGAAGGAGGCATGAGATCAGCGCAGAAAGTTGCAGGGGGAGAACCAAAGACAGCTGCAAACGGAAGCAAAATTTCTTTCTGACTTACATTTTCTACTTGGAAAATGAACATAATTTCTGCCTTTCACTGGAGTTGACTGATTTTCACTAAATTTAGTAGACAGCACCTGATGTTTATTTATAGGACAGTCTGGCATCTTAAAAATGAAGAGGGGATGGTCAAAAGTTTTAAATGCATGGATGTCCTATGACGCTGCTTCATGAAGCAGTAGCAGGATTAAATAAAACATTAATGTCAAAAAACAAAAATTCCATTTTCTCTTACTCTTGCCCGAAAGGCAAGGCGCTTGAAATGTTACCCTGAGGCTGAACCCGGCTCCCCACAGGCTTGGGGAAGTTCCTTGCACCCCATCCTCAACTAGAGACTGTTTCTCACTTGTTAGAACCAGGACAGCAAAAGCTGCACGGCTCCTTCAGCCTTCTCCAGACAGGGGAGACCCCGCGGGCACGGCCGGGCTGTCGAGCCGAGGAGGTGCGTGTGCTTGTCATCCTGATGCCCCAGTAGTCACTCCTGGGGACAGTGGCTCAGAGGCCTGCTCTGCCACTAGACGATCACTTCCCACAGCACTAACCTCTGACCTTAGCGTCCACACTGCCAGTCCTCACTCTCCACATAAGAGCAAACTGGGCACCAGGCTGGGAAGTGAAGTTAGCTAACCAGGTTGAAATTTCAGCTGGGCAAGGTGCCTTTCATGTGGCCAGAGGGAAAAAAGTAATGAAACAGGCTTTCTGTGGGGAGGGGATTATCAAGAGGATTGCAGAGAGGAGGCGAGAACACAGATTTGCTTAATGTCTGATAAGTCCAGCAGGGAATCCAAGAGGTAGAGAGACCAAGAGTCTTAGTCTGGCCAGGGCACAGTTGCAGCAGGAATCTGGGTCTGCTCCCCTAGAGTTCAAGGACACGTGCATCGCCCTCTGACTTGCTGGTTGTCAAAAGAGTGATGTATGTATCTGACCTTCAGAGGCAGGAGGCTTTCACCAGAAACTCCCCTTCTCCCAGGACTTCCGCGAACACTGTCACGGGTGGCACATGCACACCAGTGCCTGTGACGTGTCAGACACTGTGACAGAGCACGACGTGATGTTAGAACTCTAAGTGTCAACGGGAAATCGACTGCACAGAATTCAGTGCTACTGCTCAGCAAGAGGACACAAAAGAGTACAGACTGGAGTTAAATTCTGAAGTTTCTGTTATTGTGGGAATGGGCATGTGTGTGGGGTGGGGAAGTGCTTCATATTTAATTCAAGAAGCCTCCCAGAGACACAGAGCATGGAGCTGCAGCTCTGCAAGGCACACCTCCACCACCGCTATTTATTTAATGAATACTCCTGGGCACTCTTTAAATTGAAAGATGGTTCATTAGATTTGTGCATCTGCCCTTCTCAGCAATCTGTTGTGTTTCTGATGAAGGCAGAAAAACATGAACATATCATTTTCGGGTATGTTATGAGTAACTCAACTTCCAATGATCACCCAGTCATAAAGAGCTCAGGATGCCTGATTTCAGGAAAACAATTTGTCTGAATCATTCTCCCATTCCTATTGCATTCTCTCCTCACTCATCTTGGAAATTTCAAGCACCGATGCTTAAAATAAACAATAACAAATCACCTAATGCACTATCTGGAAGCTCCAAAATAGGCAGATACAGAAAACTTCAAAAATGAATTTTCCTCAAAAACTGGCTCAGAAGTCACCTCATGCTTGAAGTTTCGCTCCCTGGCTCCAGTCCAGGCACCCCCTGCCTTCTCTGGCCTCCACCCTACGTTACACATCTGCCTACCAAGCTCTACGCTGGGGCTGGTCATTGTGGTGCTATGTCCTGGGAAACTGAGAAACATCTTGTTTAAAAAAACTTTGTCTTGTCTCTGTCTCATCCTCTGGGCGCCTTGCCATCAGTGAAGAGCTGAGCAGACCCAGGCCCTAACCCGTTTAGTCAAGTGCGCGCCTCAGCAGACATTTGTCCCAGGCGCTCCCGGTTTTGGCAACAGGGATGACACCTCTAGGGTGCCTGGGACGAAGTGCCCTGTCCTCAGAGAACACGCGCTAGGGAGGAGAGGGCGAGCTGCCGCGCCCGCCCTGATGAGAAGGCCGTTTGCGCGGGAAGAGACTCTGAAAAGTCCTGCACTTCCCTGTAACAGACCAAAGGATTCTGAACGCTGTGTTTAGTGAGTTATTCTCTGAAAGCACTGTGTTGAGCAAGGAAATGGCCCCAAATTGGAGTTTGTCATTACCTCCGAGGGTGGTCTTTGTCCAGCTACAGAAGGCCAAGTGGAGGGACAGTGGGCATCTTTGGGGCTGATGGCCTTGGTCCCTGTCCTCCTGTCCCCTATGTATATTGGCAGTTGTGTTGTAGAATCGGAGACTAAAATTTAGCATTCAGTATTCAGTCTGAAACTTCAAGTGGGTTGGAAATTCAAGTGATTAAATGGTAGGGAAGGTACATAATGCTAAAACCTCAGTTTTGTTACATCAACCTAGGAAAAAGCCATGAGCTGTGAAGAGGTTTCAGTTTCAGCTTCAAGGGCATTCTGTATGAGATGCTGGCTGACTGATTCACATAGAAATTTGGCATCAAGCACTGTTGATGAGGTCGTCTGTGCTGAGTCACAGAGAGCAAGAGGGTGAAACAGCCCTTGTCTCTGAGGCACTGAACAAGATCCACCAATCCATAAAATACAGAGAGAACTGCTGGAGATGAAGGGCGAGAGAGACGGCAGCTCTGAGGGAGGCCGGGAGAAGCTCAGCCCAAGTATGAGAAAGTGAGGAGCTGATCATCCCCGATCATTGCTGGTAGTAATGAGAGTTCTCAGATGAGGCTCTCTGGATAGTTCTCAAATTAGCTACAAATATTCCCCTGCCTGCCCTGTGCCAGATATGGTTGGGCTGCTGTCAATGAAGCATATGAATCAACACAGGAACGTGTACCTCCTAACCCATACATCAACACAAGCGTGTACCTCCTAACACATACATCAACACAAACATGTACCTCCTAACATCCCCATATATTTGTTACCGGTCAATTAAAAGGCAGAAGTCCAGAGTTTCCATAGGTCCTGCTGCCCCAAAAGATAAGTGTGACAACTATCTAGTCCTTGAAAGATGCAGCAGCAAAACTTCCCAGTTTCTCCCTGACAGACAAGTATTGGGAAACTGACAAACACTATGTGGAAGCCCCGGCCTGTGCGTGTTGCTGTGACCCAGGAAATTGCAGAGCCCCAAGCAGCTCTGAGAAGGATGGAAAACCCCTAAGCAGGTTTCTCTAAAGCATTTTAGCCGCATCGCCAAGCCTCAGGGGATGCACCCTATGGTCGCCGTTTTCGGTGCTCATGTGGCATACAGTTTCCCCCACAACTGGTAGAATCACCACTGGCTTCTGAGAACCTAACTTGCTGCCGGACCCATCAGGGCTCACTACCACCAGACATCTAGAAGCCCTTATGTTGATTTTGCTTTGTCCTGCAGACACATGGAAAACACCCATTCGTGACATTTTGACTCTTCCAGAAGTCTGCATGGCTGCTCTAAGCAGAAGCGCATTTCTACAGAAGAAATGACTGACATGAGATGTGACCTCAGCTTTGGCTGTGACCATAAAGGGTGACAGGCAAAGGTCATCACAGAAGCATCTGTGCTTCCTCCCAGGAAACCTGCCCGCCCTCCCTGGAGCCCCGAGGCGAGGTGCCCAGACTGCCCGGGGTCTCGTTAGCCTCAGACCCATCCTACCAGTAAGGCGAAGCTGTGTTCCGGCAGCATCCCGTACTGCTGAACGAGCCTCTCCCGGGTCACACTGGGGAGCTCGGGGAGCTGCTCCCGAATCCGGTCGATGTTGATCACCTGCTGCGGGTCGGCGCTGGCGGGCAGGGACGCGGAGTCATACAGCAGCAGTGGGGGCAGGTTGGGCTCTGGCATAAACCTGGCAGAGAGGACACAAGGCCTGATTCCGAGGTACTTGATTTAATAGAAAAGAAAAATAACAGCTTACCGCCAATAGGCCAGTTCCTGTGTTTCAAGGCCAGGTCCCTGGCAACTATTTTCAGATGTCCTGTAATATCGATGTGCCCCCATTTCACAGGAACTGGTCAGGACAAGGGCAAATTTCAGGTGCAAACCGCCAAGTTTGCCTGGCCCCTCTGTGAGCCAGCGAGGAGTGAAAAGGCTGACCAGAGGGACGGACAGTTGCGGATAAGGCTCAGACATGCTGGGAAAATAGAACTGAATGTGAGCAAATACTAATTAAGGGGAAGAATGACATTCCTTTATTTTAAAATGTTCATTAATTTTTGCAGTAATTGTGTAATAAGTAAAAAGTCAAAGGGTAAGAACAACTTTCCTTTTAAGATGCAGAGGGAGTGAAGGGATTTTGCCTAAATAAAATGTGGAAGTAGGGGAAGGCGGTGTGGGTGAATACCTGTGCACAGGGGACGTGTCCTAGGGCAGAGAAACCATTCTGGGTGACACTGCCACAGGGGTACATTTGTCAAAACCCACAGAATGTTCACCCTAAAGAGCAGACCCCAATGTAAACGATTGTCTTTGGTTAACAATAAGGTATCGATACCAGCTCATCTATTGTAATAAATGGACCGCAGTAGGTGAGGGTGAGGGAGGGGAAGGCGGATGGGGCTCTCTGTAACGCCTATTCGATTTTGCTCTAAGTTAAAACTGCGCTGAAGAAAGTCAATTACATTAAAAAGATGTGGAGGTTGCGCCACAACATACGGTCTTAGGAAACAAAAGGTCTTCCTTCTAGTCTAGTCCACCATAGCTGCTTTTCCTCTGTCCATGGGGCCCACACAGGTGCAGGGAGGCAAAGCAGCCATGGTGACTCGGGGCAAGAGATTCGAAGGGCAAGCGACTGTCCAAGCAAATGCCACAATCATGCTTGAGTCAATCTGACTCTTGAGGCAAGAGGAAACCCAGGAAGCTTCCTGAATCCTCTGTTAACCTGAGGGAGCGAGCTGAAGCATTGTCTGAGAGTCACACTCCTGGCTCAGTAGCCATATCTAACAGAGGCAGGCACAGCACGAAACCAAGATTTTCATGGAAGAACAGGATGGACCTAGAAGGCGGAAGCTGACACTTAGGGGGTCCGTGAGGTGCCTCCCCTCTAAGGGTTGTGGGCTGCTTCTCGCCCACACACTGATGCTGCATTTGTTTCTCAGCAGCAGCAATAGCTACACTTAGACTTTCCTGACTTCACAAAGGCACAAAGGGTTGTACGCCACCCTTTCACCTTTGCAACCTGCTAAACATAATGGGGAAAATAGGACAGGTTCAATGTATATTAAGCCAATTCTGATTACCTGTCTATTTATGGGCCTCCCACGGAGCCCTACTAGTTTATTAACTAAATAGCATCACCTGAGATTTGAAACTATTCTTCCTCTCAACACACATGAAATAAATAGGAAGCCTAGATTTTCTACCTTGTGAGAACAATAATTAAAAGTAGTTCATAAATTACCTAGGCTGTTATGTTGACGTAGGCTGTTACGTTGAAAGATGCCCCAACCCCAAAATATGTAAAAGTATTTTGACAAGAGGAGGACCCAGGTCCTCCGTGGTGGCCAACAGATTAAAGCATGGCGCTACGGAGCTGGCGGCAGCCACTTCAGTGCGAGTTCGATCCCCACCCAGGGAGGTGGCCCACATGGCGAGGCATGTGCTGCTCCCCTCAGCAGTGCACTTCGTCAGTCTGTTCTGCTCCCCACTCTGTCTCTGGTGACTCCTCTCACCGCCCCTGCCCCTTTGGCCCGTACCCCAATTCTGGATACAAAAATGAACGTTTTTTAATAAACCTTATTAAAAAAAAAAGGAGGAGGAGCCACCTGTAGTCTTGCTTTCCTTCTTTGTCTCTCATCGACACGGTGCACCTGCGAAGACAAGAAAACACTGAGCAAATGCTGCAAACAGCTGGCTAGTGTATATGCTACACTACACACATCAGTGTGTGGGCAACATGCCACATGCCACGTGCCACAAGCCACAAGCCACGTGGTCTATGCTACCACAGGGGACACAGGCGAATCCAAGCCCTCCTTGGGGAAAACTTACATGAATACTTCAAAAATATTAAAGGAGAAATGTTTGGAATGATAATAAAAAAGGAATTGCTTCCAGCTTTTACCAGCTTTGATTTTCAGGCTTTTTTTTTCTGCTAAAAGCATAAAATCCTCAAATTTCAGAGTTGGAAAACTAGGATTGAAGTTATCTTAACAACAACAAAAGGCGTCTCTACAACCAACTCGAAGCTTTCTTCGACCTCTACCTTAAGCTGGTAGAGCTTAATCCGGTTTAAGGAAGTGAAAATTCTGGCTGCAGAGCAGGGGAGGCAGGCGGGGGGGGGGGGGGCTGGCACGAGGCTGGTAGGTTCAGCCTCTCGCTAGCCCTACAGACTGAACAGGATTGACGGAGAGTCTGCTGTGCTCCTGACTTCACTGAGGAAACCGAGAGAAGCGGTGAGAGAAGCCGAGGCCCTTCTTCGTGTACAAAGCTGGTCTGTGGCTGAGCACGGGCGGAGCCCACCCCACTGCACTCACGGTACTTGTCAAAGCAAACTCACCCCAGCCTGTAATCAAAGGACCGCGTTTCATTCAGAATTTCACCTCCGTTTCTCAGTTCATTGATTTGCCTTTGAATCTCATAATCTTAAAAAAAAAAAAAAAAAAAAAAAACAAACAGCAAAGCAACATAGTAATGGAACATCATGTTTTGATTCCTTTTATCGAGTCAGGCAATAAATAGAGAGCTTTTTCAATCTTTAAGTCAAAAAAATTATCTAGACGAGATCTGTTCTTCATTCCAGGTTCCCCTCACCAGCCAGCCTGGGTTATCATGACCCAACCTTTCATGGCTTCAGAATCATAGAAACTCAAATGGTTATTATACAGCCACCAGGACTTAGGGGGGCTTGTTACACAGCAAGAGACAACTGACAGAAGGACATGAGGAGCAGCAGCTCCTATTGACATTCACCTATTGCTTTGGCCAAGAACTTGGCGCTGTTGAGATTCTTCACTTCAGTTCGAACTCCCAAAGGCTCCCCAGGGTGATGCACAGATATATTGGCGTCCACTCTCAACTGGCCCTCTGAAGGAGAGAAAAAGGTGAGGCCAGAGACCCTCTTTGAGGCAGCATGGCCTTTGAAAGGTGAGAGAGCAGCCAGGCAGCAGCTAACCTACTGGCAGCGTTCCAGCAAGCTAACTCCGAGCGGGCACGGGCGGTCTGGAGCACACGGTGGGTAGCTCCTCCCGGAATTACAGTCTGGAGGCGCCGGGATGTGTGTGTACGTGGGTGCCTAGAGCTGCGTGCGCTTGTGCACATGCAGAAGGAAGGGAAGCTAACTTCTTCTGGGCCAAATACGAAAAACAACGTCACTGAAATGGAAGATATACTCTGCAGTTTCGTGCTTAAGTTTTTTTTTCAGTGTCACGCTGAGTTGGGGAAGGTCTCCGAAATGATGATCTGATAACCCTACCTTGCTCTCCACTGGAATGCGGATTTTCCACAGTGGTTCTAGGAGACTTATAAGAGAGTCCTTGAGCATTTACAGCTCGAGGGCAGGAGCCAGAAACATGGGCATTTTCCCTCCTCCCTCCTCCAGGTTCTGTGATAATCTCTTCCTTCCACAAACGTGACTATGAATCCTGATAGATGTGAGGATTTGCTGCGGGAGACGGAGCCGACACGAAGGGTAGAGTCCTGGCAGGACTTTGAGGGGCTTCCCCACCCTGGGCACACTGCGTTGACCCCGGGAGCCCCCGCAGCCTGGGAGCTGGGATTGCAAGGCAGCATGTGTCTGTGGAGCAGACGCAGAGGCCCTGGAGGAAGAGAGGGCGACACAGGCCCCAGACCAACAGGGACATGAGGGTAAAGGGACAAGAAGACAAAGCAACCTGCCTCACACTCCACAATAAAACTCAAATTCTCTCCCCTCTGATTTTATTTACAGTATTAAAAACAGAACAGACTAAACAAGACAAAATGCTGGATTTTTATTTTTCTAGGTGGGATTTTAAACTTAAAAAGAATCTGCCAATCTGTTCTGATGGGAGCGGAATAAAGAAATTCACATTCCAAATTACACAGCAAAATCATACTCAAGTGAAACTCTGGAATTGATCTCTGTCCTCCTCCCAGTGCCTCCATCTCCGGCAGGTTCAAGTTCAAAGCCATGGCAGGCACTGCTCACCCTGCTCTTCACTGCTCCCTCTGAAGGAGGCGGGAGGCTCAGCCACCTGCCCAGCACCCAGGCGCGGACGGTGGGGGAAGGCCCGCTGCCTGAGCACAGACAGCTCGCCATTCTGGCACTTTCCTTTTAGACAGTCTGTGCTTGACTGAATCTCAAGCACCCCCAACTCTGCCTGACATCCCCTGCCTCGGCCCAGCAACCCTGAAGAGCCCAAATGCCCCAAAGCCACCCTTGTCTGTTCAGTTCAGGTTGTCCTTCACATCCACACCCACACTAGACGCGCCTTTGTCTGGTATCACCGCTTAGCCCACGCTCCTTGTCCTGCAGGCAAGCTCGGCAGGCTTGAACGGTAAGGGGAGTGGATGATGCTGTGGAGGGGAAGGAGCCCTCATTCAGGTCACCGCACACCCGCAGCGAGGGGCCCCAGCCAGGCTGTGACGCCCGGGGGGCAGACAGCCCTGTGGGCCCTCTCTCAGCTCAGACCTCTGCTGGCCCACTGCTCCTCTCAGCAGGGTATTTCAATACTCCCCCCCCTTTCTGGCCCCTACTTTGTCTCTGGTGAATTCTTTTAGCCCCGAGCCTCTGGTCTACACCCCGATTCTTCCCTGCAACAGTACTTTTCATTGAAACATCAAAACCCACTTCCGTGATGCCAGCACTCTCTACCAGCTATTCGCATTGCTGCCCTGCTTCTGTCTGAGCAGGTCCTCCCAAGTTTGCTTGTTTGTTGCACACATTGTCTCCATGATCTCATCGTGCCCTCTGAAATCCACATTCTACAGCGTGGCCAGAGAAGTTTTCTAAAATATTAAGCAGACTGTAGCATTCCCTCCTCTAAAAGCCCTTCAGCGACCTCCACTGTGCTCTCCCCTTCTTGGTGGCCAAGCCCACACCAACCTTTGCAGGCTTATCTGACGCCACATCCACCTGCACCTGCGCTTCTACGTGCTTCCTGTTACTTCTGTGCCTGAGCATATCTGAACCTTCTTCTCAGCTCAAGGACTCTGTCTCAGCTTTTCCCTGGAAGGCTCACTGTCAACTCTGCCCTGCTGGCTGAGGCCTAAAGTCATTCTTCAGCCTCAAATAAAATATGGCCCCCTTTGAAAAGCCTTCACCTACTAGTGGGCTTCTGCTAACATAGCACCTAGCTTTCCACTGCAACTGTTTGGTTTGTTATGCGTTTATCTCCCTCATGAATACAAGCGATCGTGGAGGAATGTCTTTTTCATTGCTATATTCACCATGCAGAGCTGGGTCTGGCTCACAGTAATTGCTCAATAAATCAGTACCTTGTTGAATGAGCCAAAAATCTGGTGTTTTCTGAGTAACGAGTAAGGAAATTGGTTACTGCCTCACATGGCTTCCTGACAAAGGCTAAACATAATGCCTGAAAGGGACAAATCTTGCTGGAATCATCTGGAAGGTGCACTGTGGTCAAAGAAAAACTTGCAAGATATGCTGGACCAAATCTCAGTACTTGGAGAAACTTTCTGTTTAACTCAGAGACTGTGAATTGGGCCTCACCTGCTTCTCAAAACGCAACCATCTTTCAAAATTTAGAATTCTAATTTGGAGAAGGAATAAGAGCATGTATTTCAGTCTCTCCCAGAGAAGACTGTATTTCATAAATGTCTGTGAGAATCATTTAGCATCCTGTAGTGTTCAAAGAGAGTTCACTAGCCTAGATTTAAATATAGTACCCAGCATGGACAAGAGACATTCTATCCAGTGAAGACAAAATACCTTTTAAACAAATTCAGTTAAATTGCCTCGAGTACACAAAAGCCTTACCAGTCAGGTTTACTTCAGTTTTTCTGCAACACTGAGGGAGGCCTTCACTCACACATCACGAGAATGTTTTCAAGCTCAATTTCTACCCTCTAGAAGTAGATTTATAACAGCCTCACTAAAAACCAACACCACCGAGCAGAGAGATGCAGTGCAGCTCTCAAATATATATAAATATAAAGCATTCGCACCAGAAATACAACATCAGGACCAAAAGCTTTCTGTAAACAGCAGGGGCCTGTGGATTTATTGAGAAAGTCTGTTGAGCTATCTCATTCTGGTCACTGAATACTCTCCAGAACTTAAATAACAAGGTTTGATGGGAAAAAAAGAGACAAAAATTTACTGGCTGCGTTTAAAACGACTTGTGAACGAAAGCATTGCAGAGCATGGGCTGTTTGTCGGGACCTGTGACACGCTTTATGTGGATGATGACATGCATGTCCGGTAATGTAGCTTTAATGACAAAACCATGCAGATGACTTCAGGCATTTCGAACTTAACATATTCAAAATGGACTTCAGCTTTCCTCCCAGAGAGCTACTCCTCTGCCAGTCTTCCCACAGTGCCCAGCTATGAGGATTGGGATGATTTCTTTCTCCTCAGCTTCTTTCTTCCTTTCTGTACTCAACATTCAGGGACTCATTTAAAAAGTGTGAAAAATGAAGCTCAGAGGAGTCACACACCTTACCCAAAGCAGGAGAACAAGAACAAGAACAACCCAGGTCTGGGCCCTCAGCACCCACAATCTATACGTTCTCCCTCGGTACACATGGAGATTGGCTCCAGACCCCCTTGGATATCAAAATGCAGGGATGTTTTAGCTCCTCATACAAAAGGGCAGAGTATCTTCACATCTTCCTGTGAACTGGAACTATTTCTAAACTACTATGCTATCTAATGCATAAATAGTTCCTGTTCACAATTGTTCAGGGCAGAAGGGTGAAAAGAAAGCCTGCATATGTTCAGTCCAGAGGCCCCAGCACTGGCCAGCGACCCAGTGTGGATTTTCAGTGCATGTGGCTTGATTTGGGGATGTGGAAGCCAAGCGTGTGGAGGGCCCACTAAGTGGTCTGTCCGTGGCAGTCGTGACACCCCGTGGCTGCCCTGGAGGCAGTATGGAGCAGAGCTCGAAGCTACGTTTCCGGCTCTGACACTGGGTTCCGTGAGCTTTAGGCAAGTCACTCAACCCTTGAAGTCTGCTTCCTCACCCATACAATAGGACACTCTCAGGAATGTCAGATTTAAATGAGATAGTCTAATTTAAAAAAATGCTTCGTGCACTGACAAACACCTAAGCGTCCAAAGTGGCTGACAGGATTAGCTATGCTGCAATTAGGACATCTACGCAGGGGTGTCCAGCTCAACAGCCAGCTTTCAGGGTCTCAATAGCAGTGAATGTTCACTGAGAAGGAAATGACTCTGGAACACAGGCTGAACTGGTCCGTGTTCATTTGCAAAGTGACCAGAAGTGCACTGAATTACAGCCATAGCAATTTAAGCTTCATTCCAAAAGCATCGGGGGTGCACTAACCCTCTCCAGGGGGGCCCACAGCTCCCAGGCTGTACTCCAGTTCTGCACATTGGTCCTGCTGGTGTGGGACAGAGAATGAGCAGAGGGGTCTGGCCTGATAAAGTGGTAAAGGCACAGAGAGCCGGGGCTCTGAAGACTCGGGAGACCTGTGCTCCCCAAAGCACTTCGAACACAGCCGTGCTGTGCGAGGGGCAAAGCTGTTGGATTTGTATTTAAAAGCAACAGAAAATGTCACAACAAATGAGATTTAATGAACCCTCTCAGCTGTTACTTGTGGATAAGTTCCTGTCATTATGGTTTATCTCTTGGCAAGGACCCAGATGGGACTATTTCTCAGTTAACAGGTGGCCTGTTTATTATTCCATAGGTTTGATCAGAATCATAGTGATTTTAAGAAAGAATAGAATACTAAAAACGTTTTTAAAGCAATAGAGAAGCAACACTTAATGCATAAATATATAGCCATCCAATCTGCCATATTTATGTTCTGTGGATAAAAACACAGCAGGAGACATAAATCGAAAATGAGAACTCCCTCTTACTCTAAGATAGAGCCTCATGTCCATCAAGCAAACTTGCAGGCAGCTAACCTTTTCTCCACTCAAACTCAGTGGCTGCATTTTTCCAGTCTGCAGCTACAAAAGATAGTTAATTGGCAAGTTCTGTTTTCAGAGATGTGTGACCTTGACTGGGCCACCAGGTGCCCAGATGGTTGGTTGGGTGTATTGCTTCAGCTGTACATGACAAATGGCCTCCAAATGAAGGAAATGCAGGAGAACCCAAGGAAGAGCAGCAACCTGCAGCGAGGTGCCACCTACCCGAAGGTCAGAGCTCTAGACAAACACTGCATCTCCTGGCTGAGGAAAATGACACTGTAAAGACCTTTTGATCCTCACAACATCTTGACACAAGGACCCAGGAGAAAGCATGGAGTCCTTGAATTCTCATCCCTGGGCTCAGGGCCTCTGCTCTGTTGCTGTTCAATGCTTCTTTCTGATGGGGCGTTCAGAACCCAAAGAAAATTCTAAGGGGAAAAAACCCTAAAGATGCAGAAGGCAAAAAAAAAAAAAAGCAAATGCAGGACTCAAGTGAGAAGAGACCGAGGAAGTGGAGAGAGATGGAAAGGGGAGACAGCTTCACCTGCCATATTTGCCTGGCTGGTCCCCAGGGCTTGAAGTATCAGCTGCAGCTCCCGAACTGCTGCAGCCGCCTCCTCTCCACAGGACATGTCCGGCTCCAGGACCACTTCCAGAAGGCCGACTCCTGCCGGAGAGAGGCAGAGACGGTCTGACTGAGCTCCCGTCTGATCAGCAGGCACACTAGGCTGAAGGCTTAGGAAACCCTACATCACCTAAAGATTCTCAAGGGGAGCCCTGGCCTGACTCGTTTCTTCCTTTCCCACCACTTTTGGATTTTTAACTTTGGTTCTTTTCTTTTAGTATCAGCTGAAGCGCTGAGGCTGTTGGGTCTGTGACTAGGTGGCTCCACTGGTCTCACTGTAGCAGTGGCTTTAGCAACTCAAGTCACCCCAGGCAAGCCTTGGTCTTTACTCAGCAAATCCAATGCCAGAGCCGATGGTCTTGAGCTCCACGTGTCAGGCTCCCGGACCTGCTTCCTCAGTTAGTTTTCGAAGATTCTAGAGAGGAAGACAGGTGGCTGGACAGAAAAGTAATGAAAAATCTCTGGCCCTACCTGCTCTGTTCAAATCGATGAGCGTCTGAGCCCGCAGGTCATCGTGGAGGCTTTTGCCGCTGTCTTGCTCCAGCTGGATTTGCTTAATCTTCACCGTCTTGGTGGTCACCTCATGCTGCTTGGCCCCCACACAGATGCTGTAAGCCAAGCTCCCATCCACTGCGATCGGAACCCTCTGCTGGGTAATTTGGTAGCCAGCCTGCACACAAGCACGGTACATGGTCACTAGTCCACTCATGGAAGCTGCGGGCCAGGTTACCAATCTCCTCAATGGCGCAAACCATCAGCTTTCTTAACAATGCACACCACAAAGGAGAAAATTCAATGGTGTCTGGACCTTGTGGCTTGGCTTGCCCCCTCCCCGCTTCTCCTCCCTTACCCCAAAACGTGAGTCTCAAGCTCCCTACTGAAGAGCCATCTGGGGAATAGTAATGGTCTCATAGTCAGAGGTTTCCAAGAAAAGAATGTATTGTTTCCCCTTAGCTCATGAGCCTAAACCCTGCATCTGATTACAGGGCCCCTGCCAGGGTCCCTTACTGGGAAGTGCTGGCCGAGCATGTGGCTGTGGACTCAGCGAGCGGCCGCAGCTGCTCGTGTGGCTGAGCCGGGTCTGTCCCAGTGCCAGCTGCCTTCCCTGACCCCACTTTCTTGCTCCTGGAGTCAGAGGTGTTGTGACACTTACATTTGGCTAAAGGAACGCAGGAAGCACTGAAACACTGGTGGACACTATGAGGGCCCCTTACCGCCTTCCGTGCAGAGAGGAAGAGTTACTTTTTAAATGCGCACGAGCATCAGCACACACTAGAGACGCAGGGCAATACCGAAGCATGGAGAAGAACAGAGTAACGGCTCGAGTGTCTGCAGTGCTGGGGGGCCCAGCCCCTGCTCTCAGCACATTAGGTACAGGGCTGTGCGGGGCTAAGCGAGGAAGGGCGGCCAGCTCGTAGCACGTCAGGATGTGAACTCAGGGTCTGGCTCCAGAGTCCGTGCGCCTGGCCACCAGGCCAGACCAGAGATTTTCATACTTCAGCTGCATCGCAGTCGTCGTGCGAGGCATTTCCCACCCACTCCTTTGCACCTCGCAGAAGGGCTTCTGACTGTGCAGGTCTAGGCCATCAGTTGAGATGCAAGTTGCTAACAAGCTCCCAGGAGATGCTGCTGCTAGTGACCTGGGAATACGTGCTGAGAACTGATGCACTGGGCCCACTCATTCTCTGTGCTGAAACAGGAAATCTGAATTCATGAAAAGTAAGCTCTCGGCAGAGTAGCCAAATAGAGGAAGGCGCAGCTGAACATGGATTTGAATAATTTGAATAAATTGTTAATTCCGATAAATAATGAATATCCTTCTAGTGTAACTGTGCCCCATGTCATATATGGCAACACGAACTCTGGATTATCTAGCTACCTGGGCCAGAATGAACAAGAGCCACAGACAGCCAAAGCGCCCGATTTTAGTCACACACTGCTAAGTCTCCCACCTTAACTAAATTGCTTGTCAGCCTTAAAAGATTAAAAAATACAGTTAGCCCTCTGGGCCCTACTACATGGCAGAATTTTCTAGAAGGCTGACATCTTGTGGGGGGAAAGAATCAGCAATTGAAGAATTTATATCCTGGTTGTTTTTATTTAATTCTACTCTACCTCACCCACTAGAAAGTAGTTCATCCTAACCTTTCTCTCAAGGAGAATAGTGTGAGCAGCTTCATCATGGCTGTTTTCTGGATCTGAAGGAGGGCTGTAGAGCAGGCCCTTGGATAATGTTGTCTCATTCAATGTCATTCCATTGAACATTCACGAGAAGAGAGAAATACCAGACACATAACAAAAATCAATAAGAAAACGATGTTATTCTCAACCTGGTCTCATTAAAGGTCATTTCACTTCAAGTCGAAGGTCCCAGGAGCCTCTGATGAGGCCAAGAGGACTCACTGTACTTACAAGCAGAGGCTCAGATCAAAGGAATTATTTTGGGAAATCTACTAAACATTTCAGTTTTGGTTCAGTTCAGTATTAGAAAGAACTGGCTCTGGTTCACACTGGCTTCTCTTAAAGAAGTTTCTAATTGTAAGGCAAAAGCAGGTTAGCATAGGTTTACTGAACAATGCTTGCGATTAGTCTGGGTTTCTGGGCCACATTTCTGCTGACTCTGCCCATGGACTTGATCCTTATGACAGAAACGTCTCCAAGGGAGACAGTCCTATTACTGGGAACTTAAAAGACAAGCTCTCCCTGCGTCTGCAGAGCTCCCGCCTGCATTTACTACCACACCAGCTGCAGCGTCTGCTTTTGTCCTAACAGGCAATTAGCACCAGATACCAAGGCTGGGCCAGGCCTGTGAACACTGCTTCCACTCCCCGTTCAATTATGAGCAAACCTCCAGAAGCATGAGGCTGAGCAAAGAGTTGGCAATCAGGGCAATCTCATGGCAGGGGTGTGAGGGGTGTGTGTCTGCCTGCATCAGGGCCGGGCAAGACATCCTGCTGAACTGGACCAGCTCAGCCTCCGACCTGAGTGGCGCCCACCCCCTTGCACCAACCCTCAGCTCTGAGCACATCCGGAGGCGGATCACACAGCACACTTACAGGGAGGTCTGCGTAGAAGTAGTGCTTCCTGTCAAACAAGGACTTCTTGTTTATGCGGCAGTTCAGAGCCAGGCCTGTCATCACCGCTGCTTCCACGCACCTCCTGTTGAGAACCTGTGGAAACACCACACACGGCTCCTCTCAGATCCACAGTCGGAACAAATGCTTCTCCCACGCACTGACATCCTCCTTGAATATTCAATTTGGACCTGCACCGGGCCTTATTTCTGGTTCTCTGTGTGGGCAGTCCCAGTGCACAAGCTGGCTGTGTGTGTGGACAGTTTCTATAAAGAAGATATCTATCCCACTGGCACTTAATGAAGTGCCCCCTCAGGGATGCTGCCCCCCACACCTGACATCAAAGTGAACAGGGAAGACCCCAGAAAAGCTCAGTAGAGTGGCTTCTACATGGAATAAATTTAGTCTCATTCTCTCTGCAAGCAGAACAAGAGAAATCAGAACATGGAGGTGAGAGTGGGGGGAGGAGGGCTGACTCCTGAGGTGGGCAATGCGAGGCACAGGCAGGACCCAAGAGGCTGGTGGGAATCACTTTGCTTTGACAGTAGAGGTTCTCTGGCCACAGCTTGGGCTGGGAAGTGGGGTAGGCCTGCCTGTAGTTCTGTTCAGGAGAGGCCACTCCCTAAAAGAGGAGCTTGAGCCTGCCTGCCCTGGACTGTCCCAGATGTGCTGGTCTCTGTGGGGGCCCCCTCAGCACCATCTGGATCCCATTCTGCTCCACTTTCAGGAGTGACCAGAAATGCCTAGCAACTTCCCAGTCTGGTGGGAGTGAACAGCTCTTTACGAGTGTGAGGGATTTGGCATCAGACAACTGAAAGAACGGGCAGAAAGCTGTGGAGTCACACAGGCCCAAATCCCACTCCTGCTACGTGCCTGCGGCCTCCTCATCTCAGAAATGGGGATTTCACATCTGCCTTGCAGAGCAGATAAAGTAAAAGGCACCCTGTAGGAGGAAGTGAGTCAATCGCTCATTTCCCTTAGTCTACCTGGGGGAGATTTCTGAGGACGTTGTGCCTGTTGATGAAACACATTTCTATTTTTGATTAAGATACTGATGATGGTCTTTGTCATCTTTAGCTCACCATTATTTACAGAGGCCTTTCCATTCTCTAGGTATTTTTCAACCCACCATTTTGTTTCAGTCTTACAGCCATGCTGTACAGAAGGAAATAACTTGCATTACTTCAATGTCAGAAAAAACACTAAGAGACACTGAGAGTCTTGCCCAAAACATACACTGGCAGGGCCACCTGTGCCTACCCAAAGGGTGGCAAGCAGAACCCGGTCCTAGGGACTGGTTCTGTGGGCGATACAGAGGGGGCACCCCCGAAATGAGCATGTGTGATGTGTGAGGACTTGTTGACTTTAAGGACCGATCTGTATCAGACAATGTAATCTACAATCTGCACTCTACAGTGCAGTTTCCCCCCAAGGAAACCAGGCGGCACGTCTCTCCTGTACCAACATCACATGCCTTTTTGGGGAGTCCCGTCAACACGACGCGACCATCTCACTGCTGCTATTTGGAATTCTTCATTCTGGGCTGAGTAATATTGTCAGCTCTGAAGTAATAATGAATTTCATGAAAAGATGTGCCGGGAGGAACAGGCTACTCTATTGATGTCTTCACTTTCTAGGGTTTGGCATTTTACTGAATGGTTGTTACTGACAGACAGAGCTGAAGGAGAGTGCCGAAGCCAGGTCCACGCCGACACCTAGGTCGAGGCACGTAGGCATGAGCCCCAACCTTGCAGGCCCACGGCACAGGTTCGTTTTTAAACTGCCCGACACACTGGTCTCGCTAGATCTTTCTTTACCACTTCCACTGTCTTCTGAGCACCCTCTGTGTCCAAGCTGCCCCCGGGAGCCCACCTGCTACCTCCTTCTTGACATAAAGAGAATGTTTGCTTGTGATTCCCGAGCGTGCAGTGCTGAGTGTGTCTGTGCCTGGAGCTGGGAGGGAGGGAGGGGCTGTGAGTGATCACTGACTCTCACTGTACCTGCATACACACAAGTACACAGCACCTGGTAAGCCATCAATTTTCAAAGACTAAGAATGCAGTAAAACACACAAACATTACAGTGATACTGAATATACTTTAATCTTTCTTTGATGATTTAGTGGGCTTGAAGTACTTCAGGGTCAGAATTATAAGCATCCATCAACCCCACACCATGGTTGCACAGAGGGGCTGGTAAACAGAGTGCCAGTTAAAAGGATGCCAAGAAAAGAGAGTTGATGATGATCTTAGCAAGCTGCTGGTGACAGATGGAGGTCCAGGTCAGCGTGTGCTCAGGAAAGGATGCTGAATCAGAAACTTCAACTTGGGCTGTCTTCATTCCAAGAATTTCTTCAATGTCTAGAAGGACTAGGCGTCTCGGTATAGCAGAGAACGGAACTGCGTCCGGCCCTAGTCTACACGCAGAAGGGACATGGAACATTGATGCCAGCATCAATGTTCTTTCAAGTTTATAACAAGATGAGAGGGATCCTGCTAAAAATGCTAATCTTGCCACATTCTATCACCCCAAGCCCCTTAATGGGCCCCAATGTCCATATGACTAAGACGAAGCTCTGACACAACCCATCTTCATTTCCTCTCCTGTCGCCTCCCCCCATATGCTCAAACCATGCCGGTCTGCTGACTCTCCCTATCTGATTCCACCCTAAGTCTCTGGAGATGTCCCCACTGCTGTAAGGCTTCCTCGTGTGATTCTCACTGACCTCAGACCTCGCATACACTGCCATTTGTTTTGTGTCATAGCAGACTGGATTTGTTTGTGTCTATTTCCATTAGACTTTTCTAAGGCTGGGAATGCTTGTTCACTCCTGTATCCCTGGAGCTCACTACAGAAATGAAAAATAGTGATGCTCCATTAATGTGTGTTGAACTCAAGCGAGGAAGGAGGTGATGGATGTCAAGGGAAGCTTCAGGGAGGAAATGGGTCTCTCCTGAAAAAGTGAAAGTCTGCTGAAAGGTGTTACCTCTACCTGCTGGCCTTCAAACTTCTTTTTGAAAGTTCCTGAAGCAACAACCAATCAAGTATGATGCGATCAAAGAGAAAACATGACAACTCAGAAGATCAACTTATCTTGAAGAAAGCAAGTTCCAGAATTTTCTTTACAATTAACATAAAGTGACTACAAAGATCTCAGGGTTGGCAACAACGATGTGGAAGGAGAGCAACGCTCCCCGGAACTCACGCAGCACCCCTTCCCACACAGGTGAGGGGGCTGCAGGCTGGGTTCAGGAAGGGTCACAGCTGGTGCTCGCTGCTCACTAAATATGGCAGGAGGGATGCCCTTTGATGGACATTTGGGTTAAATGTATCCCTTTCTGCGATGTTGGAGCAGAGGCTAAACTGATCCTCACCTTATGGGTAATGAAGGGAAACAGAGAGATGAAGCAATGTGGCGAGAGTGACACAGAGCCTGAGTGGCAGAGACAGAAAGTCAGGCCCTCAGGAACCGGCTCTCACTACTACCTTCTGTCTTAAATCTTCAAAAAATAAAGCGCCTTAGAGTTGGCTCTCAAAACTAATGCCTGGCCATAACTCAGGAGGAATTACTCAACCAAATCCTACCGCAGATAATTTAAAGCAGTTACTGTCTCTTTTCTTCTTGCCACTTTCTGTCTCTACAGGTTGGTTTTCAGATGTTGAGCTTCTAGAAGGCAAGCACGGTGTTCTTTTAACATTGTAAAATGCTCAGCACACACACAGTCTCTGGAATGTGGTCGGTTTGAAAATGAGTGGCCCTGTGGGTGTTCTCGATTAGCAAGAGGTGTTTTATCACTAGATTTCTGAAAGTAGTGATACAATGATTTATCAAATAAGTGATAGATTGTTTTACCTAAGAAGGAAATTAGAAAGGTATGATAGGTAGAGAGACTAAGCACTGCACATACACACAATTTTTATACTCATTCCTATGACTAATTCTTTTGAAAAACAATTCATCAGTGAATTTGACCTATCACAAGTCTGTCCAATCAATGTAAAATTGAAAGTTCAAAGGACTCTTTTTACATACTGGGAGTCAAATTGTGTAATTCGACTGAACACTAAGTCCACCTAAACTAAAGGGAAGGATTTGCTAGGCAAGTTAACAGAATGAAGAAGGTTGCACAACTGACTCTAGTCAATAAAATATTCCCTAGATGTGTATGTGAAATTCTGCTAATTACAAATAAATCTATTCACTGGAGTTAGTTTTGAGGACCTATACAATGAAATATTGTGATCTACTTAAAGAAAAGGTTATCCCTCAAAAAAAAAAAAAAAAAAAACCAGAAACAAAAAACTGTATTGTCTTTCAAACTTACAATGTAATTTATAGTGTTTCTCTGCATCCTCAACTGGCGAGCACCATGTCCCTACAGTCAGTCTGATGGGTAGCAACAAGTCCTTAAGCATTTAAGACAAAATGACAAGACTGTTCACTAAAAGTCTAGTTAGCAAATCCTCTGGAACACTAAGACAAAGACTATAAGGTGATGTTTTTCAAAAAGCCCAAATGGCAATTATTCTCTGGAACTAATACTATCTATGACAAATCGGATGATTAAGAAACAGTAAGGTAAATGCTCTAATTTATGGAGAGAAAGTAATTAAGATTTATTAAGTAAAAATGAAGCAATAAAATGGGCCTTTATCTTACTACTAACCATAAATTTGTCTCAAACCATGAACTCCTTCTGATTCATATTCAAGGCAAAGTTAGCACATATAAATTTTCATTATGGAAGAGAAAATTGCTCCCCCTTTTTCTCACCCCCACATTCCTTCTCATTGAATTCTTTTATCATCACCTGAAATAAATGCGAACACTCTTAAGCTATGGTGATGAAGCTTGCTAAGTATGGTAAGTTAAGATATTTTTAAAAAGGAATTTACCATCAAAAGTTACCAGCTTGATGCAGATATTCAGTATTTCCATATCTGAAACCATACACAAATATGTGTTCTTTATGACTAAACATGGGCATTGCCAAGGGAAAAGGGGAGAGTAAATGCTACCTTTTGCCTTCTGTTTACATGCTTCTTCCACAAAATCAAATAATTATTTCACAGGAAACAATTCTTGTTCAAAGAAG